GTATGAAAAATAATTTGGATACATTTTGGTACATTTATGGTTTACCGAGAACGTATTCAACAGAAGTACCATAGGTGATTGTGATAAAAGAACGGGATGAAGTGCAGTAGAACATGAGTATAGATATTGCTCATTGATGTTTACAGAAGACACAGTAGAGGGTCAACATAAATTAGATGACTATAAATAGAATGAATGTCAATCTGGCGTATTGTATTATACATTGAACAATTGTACTTCACAAAGGATCTTTCTATACCAGGAGGATAACGAAGATGTTAAGTCGAAGAAGGCACTCTTCCGGAAATTCTTCCCCGCTCTTCCTGCAATGCGATGACCAGCTGTGGAAATGTCTGAGGCATACACGTCGATCGAGCTCATCACATAGGTGTTCTATTGGGTTTAGATCTGTGATCGGGAAGGCCATGGCAAGATACTGACGTGAGAATTGGCAAGGTACCGGGCCTTGTCCCATGTTGTATGTGAAGTAGCGTTGTCATGTTTGAACAACTCCCACTGTCGGTCCATAATCGGAAGCGTGTGGAGTGCAAGGACTTCGTTGATGTACCGATTTACTGTCAAATTCCCCTAAACCACCACTAAATCAGATCTTTGTGTGCTGGATATCGCACCCCACACAATGACACTTTCTCCGCCGAATCTGTCGACCTGTCAAATACAATTAGGGGCAAAACATTCATTTCTCAGACGGTAAACACGCTGTGTTCCATCTCAACGCTGAAGAGGAAATCGTGATTCATTAATGAACCAGACTCGCCTCCAGTTTCTAAGGTTCCAGTTCCAGACACTACGACAGCAGTGCAAATCGACTGCGCCGATGGAAGTCTCGCAAAAACAGGGGCGACAACTGACTTTCTTGGTCGAATCCCCACTTCATTCCTGACAGTTTGGTCGGAACGTCTTCTCAAACCAGGGATGCGTTGTGCAGTTTCCACGGCTGTGGCAAAGACGATGACGCAAGTGAGCAACCTGGATGTAGCGTTCCTGGGCGTGGGTGGTAACTCTTGGACAGCGGCTTCTCGAGCGATCTTGGGCGGAACTGGCCTGCAGGTAACGATCCCATAGGCGAGATATGCTGCTCTGATGAACGTTGAAATGCCGGGCAACTGTAGACTGCGAGTACCCAGCTTCAAGGCGGCCTATGGCGATGTTTTGATTGGCGGCACTCAGTCGTGGCATGATGATTTCCTCTTTTCCAGCATTTTCTTCCCACAGAGGTTATTCAAATCACCCATGCCTTTTTTTTAAGAGTGTATTTCAGAGAGGTGTATGTCCTACTATATACCGTTTTCACTTTGTAAAGCATTATTAATAATGATTTCCCCGTTGGCTTTAGTCACGCCACCTTGATAACGCTGTAAGAGTCTACATAGAAACCATACTAATTTATATAATGTAATATGTAGGAGTGATTATCCACAGAATTGAACTTACTTCCTTCACCCCCTTAAGTTTTTTCCTTATCCTGGACCTCGTCAGCACAAATCCCAACACCTCCTTTACATGAATGACCTTGAACTTCTTGCCAAAGGAGGCTGGACACTGATAAAAACCGGATTCATCGTGTCGTGTCCTTTTCCAATGACATTGGCATGCCCTTTAATTTGGGCTCGACAAATGTAAAATTCTTCTTCTGGAACGTGGCAAGATAGAAGTGGGACGATAAGTCACTTTATTTGATGGAGGAGGAGTTATTAACCATCTCGTGGAACGTCAGACCTATATGTACTTAGGAATGCAGGTTAGAGGTCTGCGGAATGCCCTTATAAAGAACAAACTTCGGGCAGAATACAAATGTAGACTAAAGAAAATATGAAATTCAGAATTGAACGCTCGTAACAAAATCAAAGCCACAAATACCTATGCTATGCCCGTCCTCTCTCATTCTTTTAGTGAATTTCTGACTATTGACATCCTTACACGAAGAATCTTGTCAGACAATGGAGCCCACCACCCTTGTTCTTCCCTCAACCGTTCGTATTTATCAATGTTAATGGGTTAACAGTTTTATTAACGTGTGGGCTCATCACGATAGAATTGTACTGTGTACCTTTGTACAGATTTATTTATCTGGAGATTCTCTTGTGAAACATGTCAAAACACGATGAAAGCAAGGCATTCTACAATTTTCATAAACGAGCCAAGGATGTTGACATATGAAATGAGCACAGATTCAGTTTTTCCAAAAAAGGATCTCTGAACGACTACTGCGATGAGTAGTGAATTAGAGATATGTTGAAATGAATTAAGGATATCTCGGAGATAATGTATTCAGAAATTATTGATATCGTAAATTGTTTTAAAGATATCTTGAATTGAACTAGAGATATCTTGAAATGAATTAAAGATATCTTGAAAAGGGATATTCAAAACGATTTCAAGATATCTTTGATTCTGTAAAGTACATTCACACTGTACATGCTACTCCATAAAAATCATCATCATCCAAAAATCATTGTCAGACAGCCATTCCAGCAGCTGCTCACTATATGCGAGAAATTAGAATTTGAGAACCCCCTTTCAAATGCAGCAAATATGACCAACAATCAAAGAATTCGTGTGCAGTCGGGTAAGTACTATTCACGTTCCACGGGAGAGGCGCATGATGCACGTGGATATAGCTAAAGCATGATTCGTGAGTTGTTAGTTTAAATTTATCTGTATATCTTTAATGTCTAATAGGGAAATAGATACATTTGCTTATATATTACGTTTCTGCATCTTCTTAGCATATCATAGCCGTCAAAGTGTATGAATAGATTGGATGTTATTGTTCAGTTTAATGGGAAAAGAAACCCGATCTTGTGTAAGAATTCATTAATATTTAGTAAGATTCATTCCCTTCTTAGTTCTAAGAGACATTTAGAAGGTGGAACAGTAAGGAAGGATAACAAGCATTGTCACTAAGGTGGCGTAGTCCCCCGCTGCAAACTATCAAATCAAACTTGAAAAGTAATGAAAGTGAAGGTTGTAGTTTAAGATGAAGTTAAATGGCAACAAAAACATGACCAGTCAACCTCTCTTGATATCTTGCTCTGTAGTTGTTCAAACACAAAAATATTTTCAAGACTCACTTTGACCTTGACATGAATGTCATGGTGTGTGAAATAAGCAAAAATAGTTATAAAGAAGTCGCTGATCAAAAAACATTCAACAGAAGTCTTGAAAGTCTATGAAGAGAATCCAGGGAACCGTTCTTGAGATATCTTGCTGACAATCTTAACATGCAGGTTAACGTGCTGAGATCTTCAAAGTGTCCCCGTGACTTTGAAAGGAAGGTCAAGGTCACCAAACCTGACTTATACCTTTCTCATACTGTGATGAACCTAGGTACCAAACATGAAAAGAATGTAGTCAACGGTTCTTAAGAAATTCCAATTGGTACGTCCATACGGACGGAGCCTAATACAATATATGGATAATCAACTTTTTTAATTGTGAGAGCCATGTAGGTTCTAACACCGTTATCAAGCAACTTCCACCGAAAAATCACCCTCACTACAATAAAGAAGTTGTTATTCATAAATTGTTATCTTTTTCTTAGATTAATACCCCTTTAAGCCGAAACCAAATACAGTCAGTCCTTGTAATTAAATTTCACAACGAAAATGTGGTCTCTGCAGTAGTTTAATTGAAAACAACAATACAAATCAAAGCGAAAATGGCGAGGATGACAAAATTTCTAGGCAGAGGAATACATGTACTGTAGGATGACGTGAATCGGGTGACCGGGTAATTCATGCACATCACTTGATAAGCTCACAACACCAGCAGCCAATCAATGGGGAGCAGCATCAAAACAACGTTCATGTCACCTATCAGTCAAAGGCACGATGCGATAAGAAACGCAACAGTCAGACTGTAACAAACCGGAACAAAATGTTATAATATGTAAGTGATACGGCGGATTAAAGACAGGTGTCCTGAGAACCTGTACATGAGATGTGTGAAACACTGGCGGGTGAGCCCGTATAGGTCCTGCACAAGTCTTACACCTAGTCCCTGAATATATAGAATTCCTAGAAATTGAAAATAATTCAGAGAAGATATTTAATCCGAACGTAAACCGTCATCAAACTGTTATCATTTGTTTTTTCTGGTAACGTTCGTCTTAACGTAGTGGGGCAGACACATCAATAGAACAGCGCGCCAGTTAGCCCTGTGCGAGGATTCTTAATTTAGGTCGCCGGCACCGTCGTTTGTTTTCTGCCTTAAATTAATCGTAATTATCCTTAGAAAGTATTAAATTAGGCATCTTAGAAAAGAAATACAGTTCGCTCTACCACCATGTATAGTGTAATAAAGCACACTTTCGCCCTGAACTATTATAATGTTAAAGCACTCGGACATGTACACGAAGAAGGAACCTACAGACATTAGAACAAGACATATATGTCTTGTTATTCGTTGAAAATATGATTTGTTGTAATAAACGTCAAGTTTTGTCTGATATAACTTCTTTTGTCATTGTTACAGCTATATAGCTGGAATATTGCTGAGTGCGGCGTAAAACTAAACTCACTCACTTATTTTTACACCTTGATATCAAATAATGCAACAAGGGAAAATTTTATCAGGTTTTGTCTGATATAGCTTCTTTTGTCATTTTTACACCTTGAAATCAAATAATGCAACATGGGAAAATTTTATGAGCATTAAAAAATAAAAAAAATAATGTATTGCCATCTTCACTTTTTTTGTGACCCCATTTTGACTTTTTTTGTGGCCATTTTGAACTAGATGTTTAATGGCCATTTTGACGTGTGGCCATTTTGACTAGGACCACTGGTTAGTGGTTACTGGCCACCTCTTCGCGGCATCAAATTTTGACTGGTTCCCGTCCCGAGCAAGGGCAGAGACACCAAGCGGGCGATTAACTTTAGACTAGTTTGCATGCAAGTGAGCGCCAGCGCTCTGTGTTGCAAAACAAGCGCCATCCTGGCTCCCGGGCCTCTCATTAGTTTATATAGAGGCCCTCTATATAAACTAATGAGAGGCCCGGGAGGCCCTCTATATAAACTAATGAGAGGCCTGGGAACCAGGATGAACAAGCGCGGTTACTAAGAAGCAGGGTACCAGTCTACCTCAACATGCGTCATGAACCGCATTAGAAGAAGGGAGACAAATTTTACGTTCGGGCTCGAAACAGCGCTTGTTTTGCCTCCTTTACCTTTACAAAGAAGGAGCATTTTGTTGCACGCGCAGTGCAAATATTGAATGAATTTCTTCCGCAAAGGTTTCGTACCAACCACTGTTGTCAACATACACTGCTTTGTGCGCTTCGCAGGATCATACAGAACTACAAGCACAATCATAATGTCTGACGTGAAAGATCTGGTCGACAGCAAAATAGCTGGAAAGAAAGTGATGGTTTTCTCCAAATCTTCATGCCCATTCTGCGTGAAAGCGAAGGACGTCCTCAAGAAATACATCGGAGATATCCTGTCGGCGGATGACTACGAGGTTATGGAGATCGAAACGAACTCCAAATGTGGTGCAATACAGAACTATCTTGGCAGTATCACAGGAGGAAGCACGGTACGTAACATGACACAATCAATGATATTAATTTATGAATATTATTTGGGATGGGGAAACGGGAGGAACTCTTACCCAATACAAACCTCTGTGCACAAATACGCTTAACACCGTTCGGACTTTGGCATTTCCTGCTCCCTGATATCACCCAGTGTCATTCAAACCAAAGCAAAATGCCAAAAATGACCTCTGAAAATTAGCTTCTTCGTAAAGCTAAAGCTGCTGTCGTCATGGGTACTACAGATATGCGCCCCAGGCTCATTAACAGGTTGGGGAAACCTACCGATCGGCAATATAATAGGCCAAACGGGATATTATCCCTACAGTACCTGGCCTGGCGCAGGGGAAAAGGAGGGAAACTCAAAACAGCGTAACTTGATAACGCTTAAAGGCTTCCAATAATATTTTGTCAGTTCACCCTTCATATGCAGCACTTCCCGTACACGGTCAGGTAAAGTCCGATATAAGTCTCTAACATACCATGGTGTAACGTGTTTTCTGGGTAATAACGCAAAAGATAATCATGTAAATTATTGCGTATCAGTAGATTATCAAAACTGTAATTCCGTAATTAAATGTCATCTCACCTTTCATAAATTTATTGTCAGAATGTTGTCGTCTGCTGGTTTCCAATGCAGCGAACATTTTGTGTCTGTCCTCCAGCACGAGCGGGAGAAGTGACGTACCATGTTTTCGGGTTACTCGTTATAGCGCGGGGTCACGACCTTGTATGGAAGCCCAGGTAATGCATTCTCCCAAGAAGTCAACAAATACGTGGCATTTTAATGAAAAGTCAAGCAAACTTGTCATTTCTCTCTTGATTATTTGAGTGGGTTTTTTTGTGAAAATTGTTAAAAATAAACATATTTACAGGTAAGTTATTCAATCATGTGCACATTCATTCTTCTTGGCACGCCATGGCAGGGACAATAAACAGGGATAAAACACGTCTTGTCTGCGCAGTACAGTGACATCGCATCAGTATTTTAAATGAACCCAGTGGTCACAAGCCGAGACGAATTCTGCACCACGGAAAAAAAAATATGTAAGAGATGACCAATTCGGTCTTCCATAGTTTTTTTATTACGTCGTCAACATTCCATTAGAGTCACGTGATGTTTATGCTTGGCGTTTCACTCTAGCAGACGATGGTCCGCTTGACATGTTACGAGCTTTATTTCAAAAGTTATGATCACATTTATGAAGGTTCTGAAAGTGCATTACGTTCTAGGGTAGAATTTTAGTACTTTGACAGAAATTTAAGTCACAGCTAACATGAAAGCTGGATATTTCAAACATTTTGTGTCCCAGTTGCCACGGAAGCTTCTGCACTGGAGACAGTGTTTACAGGTGGCGCTGTCATCTCTCTGTATGCGAGAAATTACAGGAAAAAGACATACCCGAAAACATGGTTCCCCCGAAAACATGGTACGGCACGGTAATTCAGTGAGAGATTTTCCCATACACACAGAATTTCCACGTAAAGTTCGTCATGTTTGTTGATGCGATGTGCTGCAACTGCCTCTTAATTTTTTACCAGATATTTTCAATTATCTTGAGATCAGGAGACTGGGGGGCCATTCTGTGTTAATAATACCATTTTCTTCTTTGTAGTTTTTCACAATTCTGGCCCGATGTACGGGGGCATTATTTTCCATGAATACATATGGCTCGTGTGTATAATGACAGGCTATAACTAAAACTTCTTTTTTTTCAAGCTGACGAGGTCCAATAGCTATTCATCTCTATGATCATATAAAACCATTTCGTGAGGAAATTGATAGTTTGTAAAATAATTCGAAAAATGTTAAAATATATACCGATCGGCCTATAGCAAAATAGGCAGAACAGCCTATAATATCCTGTTCGGCCTATTATAGGCTGATCAGTAGGTTTCCCCAACCTGATTAAGTATACACAAACATACCATGGAATGAAAGGTAAATATCAAATATTTACTTGAAGAATTGAATTTTACCCATTACTGATATCAGTTTATATCATCAAAGTACCGATATTATTTCTGAAACGTTGCCGATAACCCTGAAATCAGTACTGGCAACTTAACAGTTATCGCCATATTTTAGTGGTATTTACAAAATTACTCCGTTGTTCGTTAAATTAATGAAACAGAATTAATTATGATACTTAATTAGCCATTCACCGATGTGTCCAGCCTGTTCACTGCCGCCGATCGTGTTTTTATATAACGCGATGGAAGGGAATCATGGCAGTATAAATAGATGTTTTCTCACAACTAACTGTAACAGTTATCTCCATTTAGAATTTCTTATGCCATTCGTGAAATAATATATATTTATATGATACAGTAACCTCGAATAATTGATTGGGTGACTATTTGAGTGTTTCTTTTACAGTAGATTGATAGGGAATGAAAAAATTAATGACTTCTGAACTTGAACTTGCTATTACATAGGTCGTGGGTTCATAACTTTATCTTGAATTTTTGTCTTATGTTACTTGTCGTGAAGAATTTTCTTTTGCTGTCCATTATTTTTGTCAAATACCATGGGGAAAAAATACCGGAATTGTAAATGACCGGAACTGCGCACGTGTGATACTGATGTATTGGCGATAACTATTATGCTGCGATAACTGTTCGCTATCCAGTATGAATAAATGTTTTGGAAAACATTAGAGCTTTCTGCCATATTGGAAAGTGATCTAACAAAATCACATTTCACGCAGGAGTGTCATAAGACATATAAGACATTCTGAAGTGTGGCCCACATGGGCACAATGTGAAGCCCATTTCTGGTGTCCCCCGCCATGATGTTGCTGGAATATTGCTAAAAGCGGCATAAAACCAATCTCAGTCAGTCAGTCTGAAGTGTGGTTGGTATATAGAGATTATTAACTGAGTTTGTTTCCATATCATTAATATCATATATTAGGCATAACACTGTCAAATGGAATCAGCGAGTGCATGATCAGAGATAGTGTATGTCAGCTGTAGTGCCAAGGTTTACTCCCATAAGAACTACATCCCATTTGAAGTACATCCCAAATTAACTACATGGATTAATTAGGGATTAAGTATCTGAGTAGAGGCACCCCCATGGCATGTAATGAGCACAGCCCATCAGCTCTCCCAGAAGAACTACATGCTTAAAATCCTATTGACCAGTCATGTTGTTGTAAAGGTAATCTAATAACCAGAAAGTAAAGGACAAGAGCGAAGCGTATGCTAATGAATGTTCTTGTATTCATATGATTCGTATTCATAAAACAAGCCAAGCTTAGTATTTGGAGTATAGGTAAAGGTATATTAGAGTAAAGGAGAAATATAAACGAATGATTTTTAAGTTCAAATAGTATTGTTATAAACTGCAACCGAGTGCCAGACTCCAGACTTTATCTGCACAAGATCTTTCGCCGGTCAACGGTTCTTCAGGTGTACTATGAAAAGTAAGTCATAGGCGACGCATAACGGTAGTATCTATGTCGTCATCATGCGTATAAGGTTAGTGACAATAGGTAATATGTAATAGATATATAAGACATATCTTCTTAGGTAGTTGAAAATACTGTTCATAAAGCAGTAAAAGTCACAAGAGAGACACTTAAACAAAAGAAACAAACACAGAGATGGACATTCTTCCATTTGTTCGTACCTACAATCCTAATAACTACACAGTTATGCCCATTATAAAAGCAAATTTTCCAATTTTGTATAAAAGTGATACTATGAAAAAAGGTTTATCAGTCAGTGTAACAAAATGTTAAACATTTCGATGCGGAACTTGTTCAATCATAACTGAAGACTGCAAATTTACATTTTGTGAAGGCAAACTATTTACTATCAAAACCAGCATGAACTGCTGCAGCAAAAATGTTATATATGTTTTCTGTTGGGCAAATCCATTAAGCAGACGCAGGTGACAGCATGTAGTGAATCTGTGCACTGGACCATAACATGTGTTGTTTTAAGCTGTAGTTCTTATGGGAGGACACCAGTGCCAAGTGTCTGTATTGATACTGTCAAATAAAATCAGTGAGTGCATGATCAGTCTTGACGTGTGAAATCACCAAAGGCATGTGCATGATGTGGCCTTGCAATTGTAAGTGTAACCCTGTCCTATAAGACAAAATACATGTATTATATACTAGCCACATAAAGAAACTGTGCATTGTCAAAATATTATCCCAGTTGATAAGTACGATAACAATGTCAAAGGTACATATAAACTTCAATGGAGGGATCATGTGACCATAACAAGTCGGGAGAATTTCAATGGAAAAGTCAATCACAATGACGTCACAAGTCCACAAGCGGGACAGGGGTCAAACGACCATGTCACAAGCTCAATAACGGGTATGTCCACCATCGGCATTGAGAACAGCAGTGCATCGACGACGCATAGAGCCTATCAAACGTGCAAGGAAGGTTTGTGGGATGTCACGCCAGATTCTCTTAAGTTCTGTTGCAAGGTCAAGGACGTTATCTGGCGGATGAGGAAGACGGCGTAGCCGTCGATTCATTTCTCCACTAAAACAAGGGTCTGCGGACATGATTTCGGCACCACATTCGGCGAGCTTGTCGATGACGTTGTGTCAGGATAGGCCGTATGGAGGGACGTCGTGGTCTGATCCCGTGATGATGTAAACGTTGTCGAACTGTGTTGGTTTCGGGCAATCATCACTGCAGTCTGAAACCTGTGGCGAAGATGGGTCACCCTTATCCATCTGTCCTGTCTTAGCGTTGTTACACGTGGACGTCCAGAACGTGGCCGATCGATGACGTCATTTGTGTTCTGGTAGCGTCTCACCAGTGCAGAAATGGTGTTCTGGTGGCAGTGGAAATGTGCAGCCACTTGTCGTTGAGACATTCCCCAACGGACCATCCCAATGGCCTCATGACGTTGTGCAGACGTGAGCCTTGGCATGCTATGCGTTTCAACAGCCGTTTAATTTTTTGAATGATCGCAAGGGCAGGGGTTGAGCTTTCCAAAGTGACAGTATTGTGTGGCATTCATTTGCTCTGTTTCTCTTTCCCGGAATGCACGTGCAACAACGTATTGCACGTCTCAAGGACCCACTGACGTCACGGAACGTGGCACGTGCATGCATGTTGGATACATGTCACTAATCTCTGACTTTAAATCCTTATGTGTCTACACAGGTTTGATAAATTTAGATTTTAAATTTTTGTATGCACAGTTTCTTTATGTGCCTAGTATAGATGTCAACTGACGAAGGGGCAAGGAAAAGAGCAGAAACATTGTGTATACAATAAAGGAGCAGTTGACATTAGAGCTGCCACTATGTGGCGAATATGATACGTATCATGGATATTGGGTAATGAATACGAATAATTATTCACGAATACAATATTGTAGTTAAGTGATTGATGTACAGTATGGAACGGACATGTTGACAGTGTTAATTTGTCGTAGCAATAACCAGTGATCTCATGACACTCAAATTTGGTATGTAATAGTTATAGATGACAGTACCATGTGCGGCCTTGGCAAACTAACATGACTTGCACTACTGCAATGTTAGTACATGTTCCGTTCTTGCATATGTCACTTTGGAAAAGGACATAAGAGTTCAAGTAAAACATGCTCCCTTAAAAAAATCATAAATATTCGTTAATATTCGGTCTCGGTGACCACGAATAATGAATTGAATTCATGAAGGGCTCCGGTTCAGTTCACCGAATATGCGAGTAGATCGTTACAGCCTTAGTTGACATCCATAATATTTTGTCTTATACTTGAATACCAACTTCGATATGCCTCTCAAGAACCTCCCAGGGTTTAACACAGCTCTTCGAAACTGGGAGTCCTGGGGACTCAGGGCATATTCTTTTGAGAGTCCATATCCAAAATTGGGAATCCATCAATTTGCATGAAATCAATGATCATGGATGCTTCCCATTTGATAATGATTATGTTTTAATATGTGTTACTTTCAATGTCTTGAGAATAATGATTGTAAACAGAATGTTTATATGTTAATAAGGGATATTACAAACTCAGAAAGTTCTTTCCCAGAAAAGAAGTATATTGTGTCCACAAGGACACACTGGATATTAGTTTGGGGGTACTTCATCAAATTTCCTTGACCTCCACCCTGTCTAGGATGTCAGTGATGTGTGTTTGTCCATTCAAATTTTGACTGATTGCGACAAGGGCATGTTTACAGTTTATAATTTGTCACTGTGTTTTTGCAGATAAAGTTGTTGGATACCTTGGAAAACGGTTTGTGAATATATCATAGCATGCCGTCTTTTTTTTTCCAGGTGCCAAGAGTTTTCATCAATGGTCAATTTCTGGGTGGTGGAGATGAAACTGTTGCTGCACACAAGAGTGGGCAGCTGAAGTCCCTCCTACAGGCCTGACTTACTACTGACACAGAACATTCATCGTCAACTTGACGGCAAAATTGTCTGCAAACAAAAGTATTCAGAAACTTGTGGATTATTGGATGAAAAAATGAATTAAACCAGACCATTGACTCTTCACTGACATCCCAGAATTTCAAGCCAAGTATTTATCAGTTCCAATAATAAATTATATGTTGATATCTTTCAAGTGGAGGTTTGTTTAATAGGTCTCCGCTTTATTGTTTTAATCAGCATTTAAGTTTGAAATTTGGTCACTTTGTAACTATTCTTGTTCATAAAAACGTATTTAGTTTGACTTTGTGTGTATGTTCAGCTGAAGTCATTGCACTTCTGTCCAGCATCCAGCACAAACACGATTCCCTGAATAACCACAGAATTAATGAATCTGAAACTTGGCCTGCTTGTCGAACAAATGGTAAGACATTAATTTGTTCAACTTCAAGAGGTGCCTATCTGATTTACTGTATGGCCACCATGTGTAGATAACACATCAAGTAGTAGTGGAGTGTAACACATACATTTCAAGCTTTGTGACGTTATAAATTGTTTAACTTTGCACTAAGGCCATGACACCAAGTTATCTCACACGTCCTGGAGACAGAAATCCACAAGGACAATGAACTTGAAACTTCACATGCTTGCTCCCACTAATATTGAGAAGTGAATTTGTTTAACAGATTTGAATCCAGCTTTCAATATGACTGGCAGAGCTCTATATTTATTTATTGTTTAGCATGATACACCATGAGGTAATAGTAGTAGCAGCAGCAGCAGTAGCACTAGTTCTTGTTAAAAAAAATCATTAAGTTTTAAAGATTAAAATTTAAACTAAACTGCAGCAGAAAGATGTTGGTTGATCCTGGCACAGTCACAGGCTGATAAGGCTCATCATCAGCTCAGAGCCCTTGACCCCTCTACACACAGCTCAGACAGTGAATGGGACTTCTCCCAGGAAGAGACGCCTAGTTAAACCCACCAAGAACTTTCCGGAGAATATGAAGACTCCCCAGAACTGAGTGTACATCTTAATTCTTTTGACTATTGTTCAGGACATTATTGGTCAGTGCAAAGTCTTGACAAATACGACCAAGCCCTGCAGCAAGAATGGGACAGATTATCTGTTATCATCTTACATGGTCGTACCTGAGAGAAAACAACACAACTGACTTGAACGCCATGACGCTGCTCCGATCGGTGAATTGTCAGCTGAATACAAGCAGCTATCAGTGATGTAGTAGTATTATGTAATAAGATCATATCACATGTCAGAATGTGATATTTTAATGATAGTATTTGGCACTAGAGTCATTCATTCATTTTTATACATGGGTATAAAAAAATGTATCTCTTTGTGGCTAAAGTCATGGTTACTAGTAGCTAAAGTAAGTTACAAACAATATTGACTGTGTATAAGCTTAAATTTTATTACCAAATGTTCTCATAAATGTTATTCAAGCAACGTTTGACATGGTTACAATGATGAAGTACATGCAAGATGTGTTCATTTTTAAACTGGCAAAATATACATTTGTCATCAACTAATTTTATAACTGCTGGATCTTGTTCTTTTCAGAAATTTAGTGTACATTAACCCAGATTTGATTAAAAAAGTAAGGAAACTTGGTCCTATACAGACCATTAAATGAAAAAGGGGGACAAGTCTGAAAGTATTACAAATAACATATTTTGAAAATTGTCACAGTTCACTGGGTATTTGTTTTTACATTCTGTTTTTGTTGGGTCATGGACTTGACATATTCAAAGTAAAATACAGTTGTGAAATACATGCATGGTGTGTCAGGGGTGGAAATAACTATAAAATTGCTACTGTACTCCAGTACTGTGGCACATGCAAAATCACTTGCCCTGATAATTTTTCCACTTTACCGTCCGTTTTCTTGTTGATTTTTTAATTAAACAACATAATTAACATTGGAAAGTCAACTGGACACCGGTACAGTGTGATATACAAATTTGCTTGCCCGACAGAAAAACACACTACACTCAGATGTCGGGCAATGGGTTATTTCCACCCCTGTGTGTCAGTGCATCTTGAGAAAACTAGAAGTGTCTGTCTGGAGTAGATTATGAATCAAGAGGTGGAGTTGCAGAGTACAGTGTACAGTCCCTAGACATTGCTATTTGAATGACTGACTGAGTTTAGTTTTTCGCCGCTTTTAACAATATTCCAACAACATCACGGCGGGGGACACCAGAAATGGGCTTCACACATTGTACCCATGTGGGGATTCGAACCCGGGTCTATGGCGTGACGAGCCAACGCTTTAACCACTAGGCTACCCCACCGCCCCCTATTTGAATGAATGAATGAATGAATGAATAAAGCATATGCGTGATGTGTCATAAATAACACTAATAAAGATGTATTGCTACTAAATAGGTGATCATCTTTATAACATGACCCATGTTCAGTAAATAAATCCTTTATTTCCATTCATCACAGTTGTGAATCAAGGATCATCCAAAGTACCATCAGTGACAAGCAGGGACATCTGAATGGCAATATCAGATACTTCGACCATGATGCCTTCAAATCTCTATCAACACAATATTCATTCTGCACCGAGTCCTTAGCTTCAGTAATAACACATGAATCATTCAAATACACAGAGAGAAACATTTATAACTAAAGGGTAATCATATATTCATATGATAAATAAAATATGTGATACACATCCTAAGACAAAGTAAAAAGGCCTGGGCTCACTTGCACAAAGTTATAGTTGACCAATGCTGGAACTATTATAATAAGTCAATAAAGGTCTGTACCGCCAAGACTATTTCCTGCTTATTCATATTTCTCTGAAAAAAAAAGACTTTCAATTCTGGGGAATAAAGGCTTATTTGATGATACATAACAAGTGATTGCCACTAACATGGTATCATGTGATCAAAGTGTCATTTAGTTACTTGAACATACATCAATCATTGTCATTTGACAATGAGGTTTGACATGAAAAGTGAGGTTTGGCATGATTCCTTCAATTTAATATGTACAAGGAAGGTGACTGAATGTTTGCTCAGTACACTGAATAACAACCAACTTGGTGTGCCCATGTGTGAGTATTTGAAAACAGTTTCAGTGCAATTTCTCAAGCTCAAGGTAAGCTCAAGCTCAATTTTGATTATTGGTTTGTTTCACAGGGACCTTATTCATTAAATCCAAATAAAAAAATGCATCCTGGCACTTTAGCTCACTTGGACAACAAAACAAGACACTTCATAAACCTCTCTGTTGCCATGGGTACACAAAGATTTACTTCATAATTATTGAGGACATAAATGATATTTTTAAGACAAAATATGATGACATCATCAGGAGAAACATGCATGGCAAACTTCAGCTCCCTGAGCCAAACGTGCCCTTTGAGTTATCAACACATTGTCAAAATAATAGAGCATAAATGTGGAATAAAAATATGTACCAAATTTCGCTACAGCTGAACAAATATGCCAATGTACACAAGGTATTGGATCAAACAAACATTTATCATGGTGACTAAATACTTCCTCTAATACATTATAGCCATAAATTCTGTTTTGGCTGTTATCAAACTATACAAATCAGTTACACTTTTCAACAAATGTCCTCTTCACTGTAACTTAATTCATGAGGAATTGCACAAGAAACAGCATCAAAGCAGATCTACTGCACCAGTGGCACTTGTTACCAATATCAGCATATTTGAGAGAGTATCCACATCTTCAAATGCCTGTAATTCTCATGTACTTCCACAAAATAATGTTCCAACGATTCTCCAATCCAGACACATATACTGATTCTGACATCATATACAACTGAAGATAACTCTCAGGTCATATCTTTAACCAAGACCCCAAGAATGAAGTACCTCTCAAAGCTTGGAATCTTTCCCCTGCTCCCTTTTCCCCTCAGAATTGGGAGGAGATAGCTACTGCGACACCATGTTGCAGATTCTGGCTGTCGCTCATGGCCCCAATGTATAGATCTACAATCCTGGAAGATCTGACTGAACATCATAATGAATAGATGTTTGTAATACTGTTCTTTTCTCAGTGAGCTAGTCTCATGGCTAAAGCTCAGCAATTACCAAGTTCATTTTTGCAGTAGCCATGCTGCTACTGTTATCTGGGTGATATCCTCTGCACACACAAACATACATGATAACAACAAGGTTTTGTGCTGTGTTTTCTGTGCATCGGAGGGACTGTCAGGTGGGACTGAACTGCTCCGACTGAGGCTGTCTAATCCATCCACAAGTTTGTTCAATACTGGTAAAGAGTACTGACCGAGTTGATCTGCAGCTACTTGGCCATGAACTCGGTAACCTGGGAATAAGTTTCCCATGCTCAAATAGAATCAAAAGATGTATCCCAGCTTTGAGATTGCACAGTGGACTAGTTTTGATAATGTTTCCCTTGCAACTACTCATTAGATAACAGGCAGTGAAGAGGACATCTGTTGAAAAATCTAGTGTTGACAATCACAGGACACTGAGAATGTACAAACAATGTACAGTCAAGCAGAAAACAGCCAGTTTAATATATGTGAATATGATTATTACAGTTGCATTAATTAAAAAAGTCATTTTCAAAATGTTCCAACCATCTTGAATTTAATGGCATCTATCAACCAAGTAAAGAAATAGCGCCAATGAATATAATGCAACTATTGAGTGGGTGAGTGAGTTTAGTTTTATGCCACTTTTAGCAACATTCCAACAATATGATGACGGGGGGACACCAGTGCAAGTATTGAAGGGCCACCACATGAATGTAAAGGGTTGAGTTGAAGAGCTCCTGGTTCAAACTGTAGGTGAAATATACAATCTGAGGTCAATGAAGATACATGATGAGGAGCCTGTTGGAAATGTTAAAGGGAACAAAATGTGAACAAAGAGAACAGTAGCATGTTTTGGGGAGAATTGGTATCAGTGGTCATCAGCTGATTTCTCCAATGTTCTCTCTGCATTTCCCTCCTGGATCAAGCCATGAACAGATGTCATAACCATCTGGGGTGGCGGTTGTGGGGGGTGCTTCCATAATGGTCTTAAGTATCATTGTTGTCCATGGGAACATTACAGATGTGAGGACCGCCTCCGTGGTGTAGTGGTCCGCCCGGACAGCGGAAGGTCGCGGGTTCGATCCCCGACTGCGTCATACCAAAAGACGTTAAAATATGGTACTGGTTGGTCCCTGTCTGGCGCTCGGCATTAATGGGTACAACAAGGACTGGTCGGCTCGGAGTCAGTATAATGTGTCTGAGTGGGATATTCATGCTTCACTGCAGCATGGTATCTTAGTGGGCTAGCACTATAAAACCAGCTTAAGTCTGGGCTAGTACAAGCAGCCGCATATACACCTACACACGCATGCACGTCGTCATATGAGCGAAATATTCTAAAGTACAACGTTAAACCCAATTTCACCTCACCTCACAGATGTGAGATATTGGCTGATGTCATGGTACCATTCATTAATACTATAAGCTGCTGGAGGAGGTGTTCTTAGGGCTCTTCAAAGAATGGACTGGAATGCCATTCCTCACACTGTCAAGATTAACTTGTGATGAGCATGAGGACAAGGTGAACTGACAGGAATCTTTAACTCCCTATGTGTTGCAGCTGTTTGTGTGAAAATGATGTAACAGAGTGGTCTTTTGGTTGCTCCAATCACTGACTTCCTATTGATAATATTGCTTGTCATTCATAATGAATTTGGAACTTCGTGAAATCACTGTGACCCCCAGGGATTTCATGTATTCCCTAAAATTTCCAGGGATTTCATGAGATTACTGATTTTCATGGTGTTCCATTACACACATTCCCTGTTAGGATGTTTGTAGCTTAAAACTTTACTGTTGAGTCTCATTTCATCCCTTAGTTCTTTGGAGTTGAAAACTTTGACAATTTACCGATGACACTTTTGGCTAATTACTACCTTGAGTCGGGATACCAAGTTAATTTTCTCACGGCTTTACTGTTTAGTCTCATTTCATCCCTTAGGTCTTAGGAGTTGAAAACTTTGACTATTTACTGATGACACTAAGTCAAGCTAAGAGAGGGAAATTACCAGATTTCGATAATATTCCAGTTGATGTTTTGACAAATGACATCTGTATAGATTATCTTCATAAACTGTTTTCTACATGTTATGAGACTGGTCATGTACCCTCCAACTGGGCCCAGGGGATCAGTACCCCTACCCCAAAGTCTGGAGCTGACAACCAGAGAGACCCAATGTCTAATCGTAGCATCACACTAGTGCATCTTATTGTTATGATTAATAATTTAATCAATATTCCTTTTGTAGTTTCAAAAGTTACAGATGTTGTTTTTAGCGATTTCGTTTATAAATGGAGACAGTACCTTTTACAAGTTGGTATTTTATGTTAATTGTAATGTCTCGCTATGAGAAAAGCAATAGCTTTGTTTAGATGTGTGGTAGCGCCGCTTAGAATTGAAACTGTAAAGATTTTATTGAAGATGAGTGTCATGTTTTATTGCATTGTCCTTTGTATGCTGATGAGCGATTGCAACTTTTATCTAAATGTACAAGTCTTTTAGATGCTTTCTTTAAAATCTGGGTATGTTGAAAAAGTTAGTTTTCTTCTAGCTTGTCCAGGTGTATCGATTTTATCTGCCAAAACCTGCCTTAATATTCTTAAAAAAGCGTACTGCAAATTTGTACATATCATCTTAATGTAACTTGTACCCTTATTATTGCATTTTTAATATTCATATATTATACTCTGTATATTGTGGCACAAGTGTCTCTCATAATTCCGTACGGAATGGCTCAACATTTTACTGTGATGTAGCATTTAAAAAATTAGCGATTTTTTCAAACATTTTGCTTTCTTTATTGAAAATAGAAGTTTAAGTTTAAACAGACTATACCATTCATAGAAATAACTTGGAATATACATCATCCCACTGTTGAAGAAGAGCTTTGGGATATGGGTTTGGGAAGGAAAAGGTATTTTTCAAACCATATATTTCATGTTTGTCCTCAGCGTCTTCTTTCTACGAATGATGTGACAATGGACAAACAACTGTTTCTCCACAAAGCTGTGATTTTCGAGTCGAATTGTGGTGGTCAGGGTTTCCAGAAATGTAACTGTTGTCTTAACCAGTGTAAATCAATACGTTGTAAATGTTTTAAAGTGCTACTGAAGTGTAATAGCTTGTATGATAACACTCTATCTTGTCCCAACAAATGAATTTTATCAGGAAATACTCTGTACTCGCATCATAAATTTGGTGTTCTCTATTTCAGTAAGGGCTTACCAGGATTTCATGAAATCCCTAAGCCAATATTTCAATCATTTCATGGAATCCCTGGAAATTTTAGGGAATACATGAAATCCCTGGGGGTCACAGGGATTTCATGAAATCACTGACTCTTTCAGGGATTACGTGAAATCCCTGGTTTCACACATTCCCTGTACATATATATAAATCAAATGATGATACATCAAAACAACATAGACTAGGAACAATATCACAAGCCATAACTTGACAAGGAGTTGTGAGCATTTTACACAAAAAATGTCTGATAATCATGGAAACCATTGCATGCTTTGGAAGAAATTGTTCATACATAATGCTCTTGCTCCTATGAACATCATCGCCGTGTCCCTCTTCCCATATGATGACTGGGTGACGTTGCTCCAACAGCCTGGGAAATCTCCTGCAGGAAACTGGAATGAAACAGGTACTGGTAAGAAGCTAATTCAGTTGCAAGCTCTATGTAGTATGTTACTCTATCGTTATGGTGACACATCTGCTGATGTTGAAGTAGCATACATAACAATGTGATCTTTTTACTTACCTACCATAGTATACTGAACCACAAAAGAAACATCACACATTAAAAGAGCACAAGTTTCAAGACATTAAGATTTTATGGATTTTTACATCTTTTGAGGTAATTTGACATCACAAAGATGACATTGTTTTGGATTCTGTGTACGGTTCAAACTTTTTTCACTATCAATGAACATGGTGATGCTCGTGAATGCGTCTTTATGAAAAGCATGATAACCAAGCTAAAATGTTGACTCAATGGGTATAAAAGGCACCCCAAATTACCAGCCTGTCATTCGTTTCCTGAACGCAGCGAGTATGCCAAGACTGACAAAAAATCAGAGGGTGCAAGCCATCGGACATCTCCATGCTGGTCAATGTCCAAGGGTCATTGCTAATGACCTTAACTGCAGTATTTGGACGATTGAGCATTTGAGGGAGCGGTACAATGCCACAAACAGCACAGATGATCACCCACACGGTGGCAGACCGAGGGTTACGACTGCACGTCAAGATCGTCACCTACACAGACAACACTTGCAGGACCGTTTCCGCACACATGTGAGTGAGTTTAGTTTTACGCCGCTTTTAGCAATATCCCAGCAACATCATGGCGGGGCACACCAGAAATGGGCTTCACACATTGTACCCATGTGGGGAATTGAACCTGGGTCTTCAGCGTGACGAGCGAACGCTTTAACCACTAGGCTACCCCACCGTGGCAATATCAGCAGTGTAGGACTGTAGTCTTTCTCCGACGAAAGTCAGTATTATCTTTATGTGGCAGATGGCAGAGCTAGAGTTTCAAGGAGAGGTGAACACTACACCGATGGCTGTTTTGTGGAGAGAGACACATGGGGAGGACAGAGCATCATGGTATGTGGTGTTATTGCACTTAACCAGAAACTTGGACCCGTGGTCTTCTAGAACATTGGCCCAGATCGAGGCAATGGAGCAAACGCTGCTCACTGCATCAACCAAATGTTAATACCTAAGGTTGTGCCACACTTTGCTTGTCACCGGAATCACGTGTTTCAACACGACAACGCCAATGCCCACACTGCCAGACTAACAACAAACTTCCCCCAGCAGCACAACATCCTCACACTGCCATGGCCTGCCCTCAGTCCGGATTTGAACCCTATACAGCACCTCTGGGATGAAATCCAAAGAAGGCTGGATGACCAACAACTGCTGCACAACTCACTGCAAGATTTCAAAGAGTGTGGACTGATATCCCCATAGCCTTCCTCAATCGTTTAGTGCATTCAATGTACAGTAGATGTATAGCAGTTATCAACACAAATAGTGCTCGCACGAGGTGTTGAGTTCAACTCTCTAGATCAAGGACATGTCTTCATCACGTGACACCATATTCAGCCAAACTTGTTCCAGGAGTGACTCTCTATAATCAGGAAAGATCAGTTCCTAAACTACTAGTTCCTCAGTCTACCAGTTTCCATATAGTATGTGTGTGACGGGAGTTTCTGTGATATAGTACACATCAGATGAAACATGTTACTATTTCATTGAGAGAGCTGACCATCTACCATGGTACATCAGGTAGTGTGTGTGTTACTTCATATAGAGAGCTGACCATCTACCATGGTACATCAAGTAGTGTGTGTGTTACTTCATAGAGAGAGCTGACCATCTACCATGGTACATCAGGTAGTGTGTGTGTTACTTCATAGAGAGAGCTGACCATATACCATGGTACATCAGGTAGTGTGTGTGTTACTTCATAGAGAGAGCTGACCATATACCATGGTACATCAGGTAGTGTGTGTTGTTACTTCATTGAGAGAGCTGACCATATACCATGGTACATCAGGTAGTGTGTGTGTTACTTCATAGAGAGAGCTGACCATATACCATGGTACATCAGGTAGTGTGTGTGTTACTTCAGATGAAACATGTTACTATTTCATTGAGAGAGCTGGCCATCTACCATGGTACATCAAGTTGTGTGTGTTGTTACTTCATAGAGAGAGCTGACCATATACCATGGTACATCAGGTAGTGTGTGTGTTACTTCATAGAGCTGACCATCTACCATGGTACATCAGGTAGTGTGTGTTACTTCATAGAGAGAGCTGACCATCTACCATGGTACATCAGGTAGTGTGTGTGTTACTTCATAGAGAGCTGACCATCTACCATGGTACATCAGGTAGTGTGTGTGTTACTTCATAGAGAGCTGGCCATCTACCATGGTACATCAGGTAGTGTGTGTGTTACTTCATAGAGAAAGTTGACCATCTACCATGGTACATCAGGTAGGGTGTGTTGCTACTTCATAGAGAGAGTTGACCATCTACCATGGTACATCAGGTAGTGTGTGTGTTACTTCATAGAGAGCTGACCATCTACCATGGTACATCAGGTAGTGTGTGTGTTACTTCATAGAGAGCTGACCATCTACCATGGTACATCAGGTAGTGTGTGTGTTACTTCATAGAGAAAGCTGACCATCTACCATGGTACATCAGGTAGGTGTGTGTTGCTACTTCATAGAGAGAGCTGACCATCTACCATGGTACATCAGGTAGTGTGTGTGTTACTTCATAGAGAGAGCTGACCATCTACCATGGTACATCAGGTAGTGTGGGTGTTACTTCATAGAGAGCTGACCATCTACCATGGTACATCAGGTAGTGTGTGTTGTTACTTCATAGAGAGAGCTGACCATCTACCATGGTACATCAGGTAGGGTGTGTTGTTACTTCATAGAGAGAGTTTACCATCTACCATGGTACATCAGGTAGTGTGTGTGTTACTTCATAGAGAGAGCTGACCATCTACCATGGTACATCAGGTAGTGTGTGTGTTACTTCATAGAGAGAGCTGACCATCTACCATGGTACATCAGGTAGTGTGTGTGTTACTTCATAGAGAGAGTTTACCATCTACCATGGTACATCAGGTAGTGTGTGTTACTTCATAGAGAGAGTTTACCATCTACCATGGTTCATCAAGTAGTGTGTGTTGTTACTTCATAGAGAGAGCTGACCATATACCATGGTACATCAGGTAGTGTGTGTGTTACTTCATAGAGAGAGTTTACCATCTACCATGGTACATCAGGTAGTGTGTGTTACTTCATAGAGAGAGCTGGCCATCTACCATGGTACACTAGGTAGGGTGGGTTGCTACTTCATATAGAGAGTTGACCATCTACCATGGTACGTCAGGTAGTGTGTGTTGTTACTTCATAGAGAGAGTTTACCATCTACCATGGTACATCAGGTAGTGTGTGTGTTACTTCATAGAGAGAGTTGACCATCTACCATGGTACATCAGGTAGTGTGTGTGTTACGTCATAGAGAGAGCTGACCATCTACCATGGTACATCAGGTAGTGTGTGTTACTTCATAGAGAGAGCTGACCATCTACCATGGTACATCAGGTAGTGTGTGTGTTACTTCATAGAGAGAGCTGACCATCTACCATGGTACATCAAGTAGTGTGTGTGTTACTTCATAGAGAGAGCTGACCATCTACCATGTTACATCAGGTAGGGTGTGTTGTTACTTCATAGAGAGAGTTTACCATCTACCATGGTACATCAGGTAGTGTGTGTGTTACTTCATAGAGAGAGTTTACCATCTACCATGGTACATCAGGTAGGGTGTGTTGCTACTTCATAGAGAGAGCTGGCCATCTACCATGGTACATCAAGTAGTGTGTGTGTTACTTCATAGAGAGAGCTGACCATCTACCATGGTACATCAGGTAGTGTGTGTGTTACTTCATAGAGAGAGCTGACCATCTACCATGGTTCATCAGGTAGGGTGTGTTGCTACTTTATAGAGAGAGCTGGCCATCTACCATGGTACATCAAGTAGTGTGTGTGTTACTTCATAGAGAGAGCTGACCATCTACCATGGTACATCAGGTAGTGTGTGTGTTACTTCATAGAGAGAGCTGACCATCTACCATGGTACATCAGGTAGTGTGTGTGTTACTTCATAGAGAGAGTTTACCATCTACCATGGTACATCAGGTAGGGTGTTGCTACTTCTAAGAGAGAGTTTACCATCTACCATGGTACATCAGGTAGTGTGTGTTACTTTAGATAGAGTTGATCACCTACCTCTTAAAATTGTGTATTGTAGTGCCACCAAGAACTACTCGAACTCCTGGTGTAGATCTGTTGATGCTGTGGATTGCCAAGGCTTCTTCATACTGTACAGCCACCAATCACAAATACAACAATGTCTTGTGGCCTGTGCAAAGGCAAAACAACATATTACTGTGATAACATCAGTTTTAATGTTAACATGGTTTGGTGAATCTTGGAAAACAGAGGCAGTCCTATCATTATTGCATTCAAATACAGAAAGTAACAGAAAGTTTCATGTTAAATGATAGATATTATTATCTTTGTTATTCATGAGAAGACTAGTGTTTCATAGCCATTTTCCGTCCAAGGTGTGGTCCTTGGCAAATGTGGAGTAGATTAGGCAAGCAAGTAAGAAAAGTGTGGCCCTTACTGGGACATGTAATCTAATCTGTCTGAAGAGAGACGACAGTAGGACCCAAATGTAATGTTCACCTCACCATAAAGAACATCATTACAATTAGTGGTGTAACGATTCATCGATAGTATCGATGTTTACATCATCAACTACGCGATACGAGTGCATCAATACAAAACACATTTAGGCAAAATATCAGGATATTTATATCGCGAGGGACCATGATACATGCAGATATGAAATATTGAAATATGCAGATATGTTTTAGTTGTTTGACAAATAATACTATTGATTTACAACTATGAACGATGTCTTAGCGTTGTTAAGAAAGAGAAAAAGAGAAGATAGTATTTTGAAAGCAGATTTAAGTGATTCTGAATGCTGATATAAATTACATTGAGTTGTTTGTGAAAGCATTGGTGTAGAAACACAACTTTCCAAGGAAAACTTCACTTTCAGATTTATATATATTAGATCAAGGTATACTGAATATGTTTGACTTTCTTAAGCATTAAATGCTGAAACTTTATTAGATGAACAGCTTTTTAAGTGTGTGTGAATGGAACATAAGTTCTGCTGTATAACAAATTGTAAAGTATCGGGATACGTATAGTATCACCACTATTGTATCGTGATGATAATCGTCTTGCAGGTTCCTTGCTAATACTTTCATGATATATCGTCTAGCCTCATTAAACTGATATCGGGATACATCGTCTTAAACTGATATCGGGATACATCGTCTCGCCACTTAGGCCACGATACACAGTTCTAATTACAATAATAGACATTAATGTTAGTATCCTAACATTTGGTGACGTCTGAGATATTAAACACTCTATTTGTGCAACAGTGATAACTCTGCACACCCTGGTTGTGCTAGATACATATCTTATATTGAACAATAACATATTAACTAAATAAAGTGAAAAACATGTTTTCCATTTCTTGAGAAGAACCTGGTTCCCGTTGACAAAGGGATCAAAGCATGATGACAGTCGTGAGGTTAAAAGTATATGATAATCATAGTGATCTAGATCCTTCTGTGGAATCGGACCAAGGTCATATTATAGTGTTAGATAACTTTTAGCTCTCTGAGCCTTGTGGTGTCTGAAAAGTAGCCTCTGAAAGATTTTCAATGTTTAAAGCATAAATTCTGACTTTTTTTTCATTTTAATGGCATTAACAAATATCATTCAAGGTCACATCAAATTACATCTGTGTTTCAGATTCATTGATCATATACTGTCGGACATCCTTCTGTAGTTAAAGGCTCATCCCTTCAGTTGGTTTGGAGAAGATTTGTTCGTTAGAAAGTACAACAGAAGCATGGCAAATGGATAAAAGAGGGACAACCGAGAGACAGACACAATGTTATCTGGACCTTCAGTCTTTGTGAGCTTCATATTTTCAATATTTGCAGGCACAATTATCAGGTAAATCAAAACAAGGCCTCTATCCCCACTGTCTATGAAATATTTTGTCTACAGAAGTTTACAAAAGCATATAATTAATGAGATATAAACAAGGCCTTTGCTTCGTTGTTGAGAATGATGCCTGTCATATGTTACATGAACATGATGATGGTGTTTTACTATTCACTGTTACTACCTGTCCTTGAGCTGGCTGGGACCGAGGTAGGGATAGCTGGACTCCTTCAGCTTGCCCTTAATCAGCTGATCTATGATTGAGTACACAAGAGGTTTGTGCTGAGTGTACACATTCTCAACTCCCTGGAAAGACAAGAAAATCTCCATGCATACAACAGACAATATGACCAATATGTCCAACACTGTTTGACACAACAGGACCCAAAACCACATCAAATAAAACTGGACCCAATTCAGATTTTGTTGTTGACTCATGGATGGTGGATGGAATGGATTTGTTGCAGTAGCTCTCCAATGGTTAGCCTTCACATTCATACTGAAAATAGCAATGCTATAGACATTAAAGCAAATTGTGATTTTAGTCTAAAATATCCATTTCCAAATTTACTGTCAATCACATGTACTAAATGCCCTGCTTCACCTTTGACCTGGTTCTGGCACAGCCCTATCTGTAAAATATTCAGTGCAGTTGCTTACCAACTGGGCTGTGTAATGCAGTTTCCCAGGAGACATTTGAATGTGTACATAACACATACTGTTGGCCCGATGAATGTGCAGATCTGATGGTCAAGTACCTACTTTCACCAACTAGTTTGTTACCTTCAGTCCTTTAAGGAATCTTTTTGTGATTGCACCAGGATCATGCACTCCAAACAGGTCACTTCCACGGGCCTTTTTCCCTCCATATTCAAGCATGGCTTGAACCATCTGGAAATGTATAGAAATTAGTGCCAAAGCACTGTTACAAAAGTAGTCTATTGTTTAAAATATCAATAATCGAATGAAAATCTGATTATGACAGGATAATATTCTCTCAACAGTCATATTAAAATTAGTGTTTGTTGCAGCATTGAAATTCAAATATTAATGATATATTTAAAAACACTTGAAACCAGTGTCTAAATGTTATGACTGCTTCACAACCTGCCGCAATGAACGTAGCATGCTGTACATTATAACAATGGCAGTACTCCTAAGCTAGGTTTCTATCATATGCTTTCAACGTAGAGCCTCATATTACTTGTGTGAGAAAATCAAAAAAAGGATACCTAGCCAAAGTTTCATTGTCATCAGATCTTGTGAAAAGAATTATATATTGAAAGTTTATATTTTGTGGAAAGCTTAATTACCAAATGTACTGAAAGAAAAATGCATAATTTGTTGTGAAGAGTTGTCAAAGTTCAAATCTGCATCTCAAGGATGAAATTTTTATTGATCTGCTTTCACTGCCTTGGAGTTACAAGACAAGTTGTCTGTCAATCTTGGAAATTGTTTATGTATAAAATCCTGAATCATCTAAATGAGTGTTGTTGACTGAAGGTGTCAACACTCACAGATCTGTAGTCCTCGCTTAGGCCTTTTTTGCGAAGTGTGTCCACCAATCCTGACAAATCGTTGTTGGTGTGATTCTCGTACCGTAAAGCATACAGCATCACCATACGTAGCATATCCAGAGGACGCACACTGTCATTCGACATGAGGCCCTTGATCTTCTGTAAGTTGAAACAAGAAAACAGTACTGTCACTATCCACTGTCAATGTGTCATGGGGCGCAGCAGGAATTGTTGGTAGGGAATATTATCGTCAGATCATAGGTTTTTGGTCATGATACGTTTGTGATGGCAGTGTTTACTCTGACTATCATGAGGGATGTTGCGTTACAGGGACATAACAAATTTTTGAATGATGGCTTGTGTTTAGAATAAAGTTATCTTTTAAAAGTTAGCGACAGACTTAATAATTGTTCAAGATGGTGATACAAGGATACCAAAACAAGTACATCACATAATATGTTTTCTAAGGAAATCTTATGGCAATTTTTAAATTTAGTCTTCCTAAGTCAGTCTTAGACAAGCTTGCAGAAATTTGTTCAGGTTACTGTCTCAGTTCCTAAGAAAACTTGTACCAAATGAAGACACTGTGTATGCAAAATATCATGAATCAAGTGCTATGTAACAAATTTAAACACTGCACCAATATTGTTTAAATCAATTTCAACAACTATCTTCAGATTAATATGCCAACCTTAACATTTGTGTAAATTGATTAATTTCTGTGAAAGCTGCTTGCCCTGTGCTGATGAGAACCTCAATAACAAGGCCATGAGCACTTCAACCAAACATATCTTTATGCAGAAGTTGTGTCCAGCTTGTCCAGAGAAGGCACAAAAACATTTTATGTAATTCTGCTATTATGATTGTTGTTTGGACTGCCAAAGTTTCTATGTTACATGCATACAGAACTAAAATGATAATGTTTGGAGATGCTGATGTCAGAGGCCTTTTAAGGATTAGGGCAACTCTGCTGCCCACCTTTATAGTGATATAGACTAAACCCTAGATGTACACAGCACACTGGGACAGTGTGACATTGTGTATCCCTAGGTGTACACAGGACACTGGGACAGTGTGTATCCCTAGATGTACACAGGACAGTGTGACATTGTGTATCCCAAGATGTACACAGGACAGTGTGACATTGTGTATCCCAAGGTGTACACAGGACAGTGTGACATTGTGTATCCCTAGGTTTACACAGGACACTGGGACAGTGTGTATCCCTAGATGTACACAGGACAGTGTGACATTGTGTATCCCTAGGTTTACACAGGACACTGGGACAGTGTGACATTGTGTATCCCAAGATGTATACAGGACAGTGTGACACTGTGGATCCCTAGGTGTACACAGGGCAGTGTGACATTGTGTATCCCTAGATGTACACAGGATAGTGTGACATTGTGGATCCCTAGGTGTACACAGGACAGTGTGACATTGTGGATCCCTAGGTGTACACAGGACACTGGGACAGTGTGACATTGTGTATCCCAAGATGTACACAGGACAGTGTGACATTGTGGATCCCTAGGTGTACACAGGACACTGGGACAGTGTGACATTGTGGATCCCTAGGTGTACACAGGACAGTGTGACATTGTGTATCCCTAGGTGTACACAGGACAGTGTGACATTGTGTATCCCTAGGTGTACACAGGACACTGAGACATTGTGTATCCCTAGATGTACACAGGACAGTGTGACATTGTGTATCCCTAGGTTTACACAGGACACTGGGACAGTGTGACATTGTGTATCCCAAGATGTACACAGGACAGTGTGACATTGTGTATCCCTAGGTGTACACAGGACACTGGGACAGTGTGACATTGTGTATCCCTAGATGTACACAGGACAGTGTGACATTGTGTATCCCTAGGTTTACACAGGACACTGGGGCAGTGTGACATTGTGTATCCCAAGATGTACACAGGACAGTGTGACATTGTGTATCCCTAGGTGTACACATGACACTGGGACAGTGTGTATCCCTAGGTTTACACAGGACACTGGGACAGTGTGACATTGTGGATCCCAAGATGTATACAGGATAGTGTGACATTGTGGATCCCTAGGTGTACACAGGACACTGGGACAGTGTGTATCCCTAGGTGTACACAGGACAGTGTGACATTGTGGATCCCTAGGTGTACACAGGACACTGGGACAGTGTGACATTGTGTATCCCTAGGTGTACACAGGACAGTGTGACATTGTGTATCCCTAGGTGTACACAGGACAGTGTGACATTGTGTATCCCTAGATGTACACAGGACAGTGTGACTTGTGTATCCCTAGGTTTACACAGGACACTGGGACAGTGTGACATTGTGTATCCCTAGGTGTACACAGGACAGAATGACATTGTGTATCCCTAGGTTTACACAGGACACTGGGACAGTGTGACATTGTGTATCCCAAGATGTACACAGGACAGTGTGACATTGTGTATCCATAGGTGTACACATGACACTGGGACAGTGTGTATCCCTAGGTTTACACAGGACACTGGGACAGAGTGACATTGTGTATCCCTAGGTGTACACAGGACAGTGTGACATTGTGTATCCCTAGGTGTACACAGGACAGTGTGACATTGTGTATCCAAAGATGTACACAGGACAGTGTGACATTGTGGATCCCTAGGTGTATACAGGACACTGGGACAGTGTGTATCCCTAGGTGTACACAGGACAGTGTGACATTGTGTATCCCAAGATGTACACAGGATAGTGTGACATTGTGGATCCCTAGGTGTACACAGGACACTGGGACATTGTGTATCCCTAGGTGTACACAGGACAGAATGACATTGTGTATCCCTAGGTTTACACAGGACACTGGGACAGTGTGTATCCCTAGATGTATACAGGACAGTGTGACATTGTGTATCCCTAGATGTATACAGGACAGTGTGACATTGTGGATCCCTAGGTGTACACAGGACACTGGGACATTGTGTATCCCTAGGTTTACACAGGACACTGGGACAGTGTGTATCCCTAGATGTACACAGGACAGTGTGACATTGTGTATCCCAAGATGTATACAGGACAGTGTGACATTGTGGATCCCTAGGTGTACACAGGACAGTGTGACATTGTGTATCCCAAGATGCATACAGGACAGTGTGACATTGTGGATCCCTAGGTGTACAAAGGACACTGGGACTTTGTGACAGTGTGCACATTGAGATGCTATGAGTAATGAAGAAAGTTACCTGAAGTATTCCTGAGTGGTCACTCTGGCAGGCTATTTCTTGCTCTGTCTCCGACACCTCCAGTAGACAGTGGCTGCCCACCAATCGGGACAACTCCCCAACAACTGTTACATGCTTGGAGACGGTGCCAGACATCTTTTTGAACTGGGGATAGTTCTCAACAAATGCCTGCAGATAATGAGAACCATAAACACCATGTGTGTAGGGTAGCCAGGACATTGTCTTCCTGGTTTGATAACTACCGTACTTATTGCTGTCTCTCTCTTTACAGATATATCAACAAGTGTTCAACAATAGCTTACATGGTTATATATACCTGTACAATATACAATGTCAATATACACCATTAAACATGTTGTCAGCATAAATATACTGATGTATTGTAAGTATTGGGACATTATCCATCCATCAGAAATTCAAATTGTAATGGTGTCTAATTTTGATTTTGATGACATAACAAAACACAACAATGGTGTCAAAACACATATACAGTAATCAGAATATTTTTATCAGCTGAATTTGGTCAAAAACTTTCAGAAACTAGAATAGTGTGAATATAGAATTAGGTCCCTAAACAAGGCACAGCAGCTCACCTGAACTATGAAGACAAGATTTCAATAAACATTACTGATTAAACATTTAAAGTTACCATTGTAAACAAATTTGAAATTGGTGCAACAGAATCCACTTTTGCAAATAACATCCAGTCTGTGAAGTTGTCACATGTCACATATATGCAGATGATTACAAACAAATACTCCAGACTCCTTCAGGAAGCATTCAATCAAGCACATTGAGCACCACAACATCCCCTGATTCGTCACTAGAACAAACATAACAGGCAAATGCCTGCAATCTGAAATTATCAACTTTTGTTCTGGCTTAAGCACTGTGTTTGCTGTAACAGTCTAAAACATGACAATTAATTTACCATAATAATATTGATATATCTGCATATAATATTCATATATCTGCATATAATATTCATATATCTGCATATAATATTCATATATCTGCAATTAAAGTTGAAAGAAATAAAAGACACCTGAGCTTCCAGTAATCTGTGATGTGTGGCAGGTTGGGTGGGAATCCATGCATGAGATAGGATAAGTTATAAATATACAATTTATTTTTAAAATTTTAAAATTTTAAACTTATCCTATCTCATGGTATGCATTATCCCATAGTTGGAAGGCAGGCCGCAGATTACCTGGTGTCAACTCTACAACCGTGAGGTCGATAACACAAGGAGGCCAGGAAAAAGCACCAACTCCCAATATAACTCCGAACTTGTGATGGGTTGAATCTAAGTGATAACCCTTTGGCTTACACAGCACAAAAACTCTAGGGAGTGGGCGGTCCGAAAATTAATGTGCTTTTCAGCCGTAACTTTTGACAAGCAAAACGACGCACTTTGGCAGGTAGATCCCGCGATTTATCAGGTGACCCCAGTGAACTAAAGTCGAAGACCTTAATCTGGACAGCCCCTGCTTCGAAACTATCCTCCACAGACACACGCTGGAAGGCGGTGAATGGGAGAACAGCCCGGTTGCTCAACTCGTTAAACGTTTAGTACCAATCCCCCTAACTTACCAAAGGTGAAAAAGGACTTAGGAACGGAACGCTTTGAAAACCATGTAGGTAATCGGAAATCAACACTTCGCTGACGTGATTGCTCAGAGAGTAGAAGTCAACAAGTGGAGTGTCGACCACCTCTGCATGAAGTACAAGACTGGCCTCACAGTCTATCGAGTCATGGGTATGACAGTACTAACACGCCCTAGTTCCAGCTAGGTGAGGTGATCTATGCCCAAATATAATCCATACCAAGAAGAAAGATTGGATCGATATCTTTCATTGATATAGAGAATGCAAGACCGACACAAGGTAGGAACTGCATCTTATCTGCGTTAGCGAGCCGATGACAACTGCTGCGCCAGAACCAATGGACCCAGTAGGTGAAGACCTTCCACGTCAGTGACAGACAGATCCCGGAGGCAGTGTGAGGCAAAGACCGTGTCCAATCTCCAAAAACAACCCTCCATGATGGCATGAAGGGAACAGTTTCTGTGTAGCGCAATCGTAGAGGCCAAGGCTCTCGTCTCATGATAGTTGGTCGTAGTAGGAGGAGGAAGGTCACCATAGGCACGAAGGATGGTGGATCGCATCCAGAATGCCAGTGTGGTACGAGAAACCTCTGTACATGAGGCAGTTGACAGAGGAATAAACAGTCTCTTGCATAACCTATGACGGTTCTTGGAGGCAGCTTAACAGACCTGTAAAGTCCGGACAGGAAATAGGGAGAGATCCTCGGTGTCGTCAGGGCCCAGAATAGTAGACAGCGGCGGAAAGGCGAATAGTCTGTCCCGCTGTCCAGGCAACTGGGTTTCAGGGACGAAATCCTATCTCAAACCAGGGAAGACTTTGGCATGTCTGGTACTCTCTAAGCACAACCGGGTGACATCCAGTGCGTGAAGCTAGGAGATGTGGGCAGCAGTCGCAAGAGCCAAGAGGAAGAACGTCTTAAGAGTGACATGCTCAAAATCCTTCTCCGCCAGAGGTTCGCATTCCTCTGACGGAGATGGTTAAGAACCACGGAAAGGTCCCAGGCAGGTGGAACTTCCAGGATTGATCAGCAACTTTGTAAGATCTGAGGAAAGACTTGAGCTCAGGGACAGTTGACACCTTCAGTTGACCCGTAGCCCTCGCAATAACTGTGTTATGCGCGGCCAGGTACGTAGACAAGGTAGAACCCTTTAAATCCTTGGAAGTTCTAGGATGCTGGAGGTACTCAGTAACCATCTGTGGCGATGCTGTAGTGGGAGATACAATACCCTTCGCCTTGCGGTATGCTTTAAAATTCTTCCATTTGTCATCATAGAGTGACCTGTTTGAAGTTTGGTGCACAGTGGGAATCGCCGTAGCGACTCGCTTGGAATATCCCTTTAGCAGTTAGCGATTAATGTAAATGTGCCAGGCATGAAGATGGAGCATGAGTGGAGACCAATGCAGCTGATCGGAGTCAGGATGAACCAGAAGATCGGCGCGATCGGGAAGTGGTACTGGATGTGGATCGGCCAAGTCTTGCAGGTCTATGAACCAGCTCCTGGCCGGAAATCAGTGTCATCCGCTGCGTCATGCGTAACTTGAGCAGTATGAGTGGAAGTAGTGCCACTGGTGGAAACGCATACGCGTTCAAGTCATCCCAGGGGATGGCCAGAGCGTCGTGTTCCCATGCCAAAGGATCTGAGAAACGAACATTTAAAGCTGGTGATTGAAGCGGGTAGCAAACAGATCCACTCTCGGGTTCGAAATCGGAAGGCACAAAGTCTTGAACACCTGCGGATGCAGTTTCCACTCCATAGGGGATGGTTGAACCGGACAGGACAGAGAATCTGCAATGACGTTCTTCACCCCTGGGGTGTGATTGGCCTGGAGCGTGATGTTGAGTCCACTAAGTTGAAAAACTGTTGTGTTCACTGAAGAAGCTGAGGAGACCCCCGTGGATCCCATTCGAATGATGTGCCACACGACTGCAGCATTGTCCGATCAAATCAAAAGCTTGGTTGATTGTAAAAGGTGTTGCCAGTGAGTGATCGCTTGAATCACTGCCCTGAACTCCAGAACGTTGATGTGGTACGTGTGGTCTGTGGAAGACCACTGTCTTTCCACCTGCTGATCGAGAAGGTGAGCTCCCCACCCGTGTAGAGAGGCGTCTACGTACAGGTGATGTACTGGAGCAAACGGCGACTCATCAACTGTTGGAGCCGTAGAGATTTTTGTTAGGCCGTGGACATGAAAGGTAGAAGGATTTTATCTGGGAGCAGAGAATCCGTCCTTAATTCATTTCAGGCTCTTGAAACCATCATTTAGTGTACTGGATAATTTCAGAATACAAGGCCGAGGTGGTAGGGCGATGGTAGACCAATCCCGGTTCCTAAGAGTATAAGAGTGATCCAGGCGTCTCAACTGCTGCAAAGCTACCCCCAGGGGTAGATAACTCAGAGTGAGCGGGAGATGCAGGCATGGCTATTTGGACTGGATCAATCTCAGGAGGTGGACCAGATGAAGAGCCAGGAGCTACCGAAGCCGTATGGGCTGGAGTAGAAGGCTGTATTTGGTTCCAGGCTGAGGTTATGGCCTGATCATCATATTTAGATCTGGAGTCGCTGTAGGAGTGGGATTGTTATCAGGTTCCCATGACTCAGCAATGATCCTAGAGTGAGTCAAAGGATTCTCAGAGCGTGTAGACGGAACATCATAAGAGACTGTAGGCCTATTAGTGGTATCAGAGCAATGATCACCCGAACATCGGTCAGAGGAACTGTATCGAGATCTCGACATGGTAAGTACCGAAGTAGGTTGGTAAGCCAGTGATCTGGATTCCTTAGTATGGCTAGGTGATCCGGTATGATATGAAGAACTAGTCCGGGTCGCTGTAGTTCTAGTTGGTGATCTGGTTCTGATTAGAGCTCTGGTTCGACCATCTGAATAGGATCTGCCATGAGATGTGGATCTGTACTGTGATCCCGATTGGTCAATGTAAGGTGATCTAGATCGTATAGGTGACCTGGGTTGGTAAGATGATCTGGATTTGTTAAGTGATCTGGATCGATTCGATGCACTAACTGGAAACTGTGATCGTGATCTGGATCTATAAGGTGATCTGGATCGAACAGGTGATCTGGTTTGCAGTTGCGATCTGGCTTGATTTGGTGATCTGGATCTGTTTGGTGATCTGGAGCGGTCTGGCGATCTACTTCAATGTTGTGATCTGGATCGGTTAGGTGACCTAGATTGGTCCGGTGATCTGATTCGAGGTTGTGATCTGGATCCATTCGGTGATCTGAATCGGTCCGGTGATCTGATTCGAAGTTGTTATCTGGACCCGTTTGGTGATCTGGATCGGTTAGGTGATCTGGATTGATCAGGTGATGTGGATCGTAGTTGTGCTCTGGATCGTGGCTGTGATCTGGATCAATCCGGTGATCTTGATCGGCACGGTGATCTAGATTGGGCTTGTGATGGCAGTCTGGATAGTGAAGGTGATCTAGATCGTTGTGGCAATCTGGATCCGCGATTAGGTGACGAAACCTGAAGTGTTGATTCATGATGAATGTCCCCTGGCGATGCCGTTGTAGCCAGCTCCGTCCGGTTCAGTGAACTGTGGGGAGACAGTTGGCTGGTTGAACGCGGTTGGCCAGGCTCCAAACAAACTGAGACAGTCGAGGGGGATATGTACCGATGATCTGGATGATGATAATGTCGATCTAAGGTCCCCTGGTAGTGTAGATGGGACAGGCAATGAAGAATTATCGATCACAACCACCCGCGAGTGATCTGACGCTATAGAAGCAGGTGATTGATGCGTACGTAATAGGTGCCGAATGTCCTCAGAAAAGCAAGAATCTGATGAAGCGTCCATAAAATCCTCTTGAACCACAGACGTCGCTCTCCTTGCGTGAAGGTACGATTTTCTGTCGCTGTAACTTGATACGCTTGGCGGGAGTGGGATCAGATTCTGTTGATTTCCTGTCCCTATCGGCGATTCTCCAGGAGCAAACATGAAGGTAGGCCTTAAAATTCTCATCTTTTAGTGAATTACACTTGCCACATCGTTTGTTCCAGTTACATTGTCCAATACAGTCACTGCAAGACAAGTGAGGGTCGAGGGACGAATAATTCGTCTTGCAAAATTGCAAAATTCCAGCAAAATTATGACTTGGGACACCAGAATGGGCTACACACATTGTTCCCATGTGGGGAATCAAACCCGTGTCATCGGCGTGACAAGTGAACGCTTTAACCACAAGGCTACCCCACCTCCTGCCTGCGCACCGAGACACAAGAAACACACTTATACCTGCACCACGTGAAGTGGGTCTAATAAGTTCTAACAACGTCATTCGTTTATCAGTCGGGCACCAATGACGTCATTTCCAAGGGACATAAACAATAGTGTGTTTATTATGGCCATAGAACTCTCGGGTAATGTGGGAAATATGAATCAATATAACGCAAAAAAAAAAAAAAATTAGTTACTTACTAAAGTGCAACACAAAAAGGTTATATAAATTGTTATGTCAACTTGCCCTTTAACAGGCACCCTTCAGACTCTACGTTAAACATGTCTCAAGATTGGGCATAAAATGTTGACTAGTTGTTTTAAGATCTGCTCCGGAAACAAGACCTACCTATGGAAACAGGAAGTATCAAAATGCAAAAATTCCACAAATATTTAAAGGCGCCACTTCAGGATCTGTATGATGTACCAGCCAATTTTTGATGAAAATCAATGACCAGTTTTTGAATTGTGCTCCAGAAACAGAATGATTGTGAGCTTACTGACAGAGACAACTGTATTTCACAGCATTATATGTCACTGTGATAAAAGTGAAGAGGTAAGCCCTGACATGTAATCCTTGATCATGTTAATCAGTTAATATTATGAGGGACTGTCAAAATTTCAGGCCAGTTTAAAAATCATCATGTAACACTTCAATAACAGACCAATACAGATGACTTGTGTTAAACTGTGATTAGTCTCTCACCAAGATATGTATCTGTAAAGCATTAACAGTTTTTGTTCACAATAATTCAGAATATTTGAATTGTAAACATGGCAGTAGCATATCGGTTATATCGTTTATGGTCACTGACCAGTCCCCCTGATGGAAAATCAAACAGATAATTTTACTGTACCTTCATGTCAGCAATAGATTCCACTTTTGCTTGACTTTTGGATTTCTTCTGAAATTCTTCCATCAACTCTTTGATATTTGAACCAATCTCTCCAAAATTCACGTACATATTCTGCAGAAAAACACAAAGAGCATTTAGAGCATGTCATATGAAGCCGATCATGAACGCATGTTATGGTCAAGAAATATGCTTACTTACATTGGCATAAAACTCATCATGTTCAGCAGACAACACCACTTCCTGCAAGTCCTTGGTAATGCCTGGGACACTGGCTAGATTTATGCGATTGTTGTTGATAGCCAACAGCTCATGTACCATTGCCTGGTAGGTCCACTATAAACATAAGTTACAAAACATAAATTATTAAAGGAAACCTCTGTTCACTTATTACTTCCCTTCCCTTACAAGGCTTATTCATGAAAAGTAAAAGTAAATCAATTAAGTTAACAAAAGCTCACAATTGACATCCGTCACATTAGAGTAGTCCATGAAAGTAGCACTTCCAATTCACCTTGCAGGGCAGCAACAAATCACTGACTTTGCTTCAGTCTGCAATGATTTCTACTATTTGTAGCATAGAGGTGAAATTATGTTTGAGTTCATGAGCAGAAATCAAAACAATGATAAGAAATGAAGTAAGCTTCATGTCTTTGTAACCTAGAATCTCTCCATGGTCTATAACTTTTTGACAAAGCTAAATGTGAAAAAACCAGAGGCAGATGATATACCTTGCAGTTTCGGTTCAATTGTAAACCCTGAGATGTAGAGCTACTCAAACTAACTGAAGGATTGGGTGACTAGCCCACCCAAATATACTGCTGTAGAAGTAACTATGTGACATGTTTCCTAACCTTATCATAGATATGCGGAGATAATTGTGACAACTGGTCTCTGGTAGCAGTTAAAGTCTGATCCAAAACGTGTGCAGATGCACTGAATGTTTATCATTGGTACAGTCACCTGATTCAGAAGTGGTGTGACAGCATCATCTCTGCGGTCTAGGATCAGAAGAACTGGAGCCACATCAGTCTTACGGAACTCGAACAGGGCAGCTTCTTTGTTGATCACTTGCTGAAAGTCAAGGTCCAAACACTTAAAACAATTCACACCATTTAGATAGAGGAAGTGAGTGCACATTTTTGCTCTATCACGCTATACAGGTAAACCAATGGTTGGCATCTTCATCAATGCATAGTGTAATCATCCAATCCTCATTTTCTCTGCTTTGTAAAAGGAATGAGGTAGTGGACACTTCAGGGAAAAGGTCATCCACTATGTCTGAAATTTACTAAATCTAAATATTTTCTATATTGTATACTTATCCAATCTCATTCCACATTGTTCATCACTGTTCATTGTTTGATGATCTGTCCCTTTCTATGTGAAATGTTATGTATTGCATCATGCAATCTATTTTTGAAATCTTGTGTAATATGAATTACTTATTCTGTAAAGCTTTCCACCAAGAATATTGTATACTGTTTGTACCGAGGGCCTAAGGCCGCAAATACTGAATAAAAGAATTAAAAAACTTATCCTGCATTGCTTACTTCCTGCACTTATTGCTTATAACTCAGAACATGGCTGCCAGACAATGTCAAAATGAACAGATTAACTGGTAAAATCCCAATCTGTGTCTCTGCATGCATCGCCAGAAACTACACACTTACAAAGGCATTATTAGCTGTTGGGAATGCAGTAAAAAGCATGGATTTGAGTTATTCCAAGTGCTACTTCTTAACTGACATGCCCTCAGAACAACACTATCCCCCTTCCTGGGGAGAAAAAACTGGAGGTCACATACTTCTGGAGATTGGTGAGTTGTTGGACAACCTCTAATGGGCTGAGGCTTTGGTCATTGTTGATGTCCATTAACACCATGTTGCACAGGTAATGCCTTGAAGACTGTGTCCCACCTCCAGAGGCATCTCTGCATTATGGACGACACAGTTCAGTCACTGTGGATCATCATGGATGTAATCACTCGAATGTCGGGATTGTTGGTCATACAAAGTTCCAGCCTTGCTTCATTATAGGCATGGAGGATGGTTGTTTTTAACCATTAGGAAAAGGTATTCTTGCTGACTTCCCCCCTGCAACGCCTGGGAGAAATAATACTTTCCCAGTATGTCTGATGCCTTTGTTTCACTGACATTAAACACTAAGCACATGAACAGGAATCAAGAGAACGTCTTATTCTTCTTCTGAGCTGATAATAGATGAAACCCCAGCGAAGACCCAGATGCACAGAGCTATGTCTGAGCCATTGAAACCTTACTCTAATAACATCTAACACATGGGCTTTCCTAACTCTTGCTGCTCTGGCTAGAGATAGAAGGAAAGGCATCTTTCTGGCTTAACCTTCAATGGAAACATCTGCAATAAGCTCGTAGATGTTCCAAGACGGTATTGAGTTCTTGGCAGGTGGTTGAAATTTGGGTCTTAGAGGTTGAAGGAATGGAGCATGGACAGTAATTCCAGAACCCTTGAGATTCTCTAATGGTTGAAACTGCTAAGAATCTATTGCAGATAAGTAAGTGGCAGTCGGGTCCGACTTCAAGTGTCTTCTGGTCCATAGACAGAGCAGGAAGTCCGCTCAGAATTGGGGAGATGCCTGCATAGGATCTTGTTTTTGGGCTCCACAAAACTGCTCAAATGACTTCTATTTGTCATCACACAGGTGTCTGGTGTAAGTCCTATGCGCTAGCTGTTCTGGCTGAGAAACTCTTGCCACTCAATGCCTTGTGCAGACAGTCCATGCATGCAGATTGAAACTGTCCAGCTTTGGAGCACAAGGATATTTTCCCAGGCCAAAGGATGAAGATGATCGCAGTTAGACTTCATAACACCAGAAACAAGGTTTAGAACTGTCTCGCACCATTGTCCCATGGACTAATCAGATTACTAATTGTAGTCTGAGGAATGTTCACCCGAGCTGTTTGGTGACAGGAGCGCTACTAGCACACTCATTAACACTGAGAGTGGGGCATTTCTTTCTCCTACAATTTACACAAAGTGTGTTACACAAAAATCTGCAATGTGACAGAAACTCCCCCCCAAAAACACACACATGAGAGAAATATATACAGAAATTACATTGCTAAAAAATATTCAATTACATTATGATATTATGATAGTGTTAAACATAAACAGCAAAAGTGTGAGAATGAAGAACATTTGAAAAATTACTGAAGACTGGGGATCAAAATTATAACTAATAAAAATCAAAATCAGTACCATAAACAATAGCAAGTTTATTATACAAGGCAAACCAAAATCCAAGGGGATGAAAAGGATTTCAGTCCTAGCAAAGAATACATCTTTCTTAGCGTGCAAAAAGCACATATCTGAGGTGACACATATCACCTTCAGGTGATGCATATGCAGATGGACACTAAGTGCAGATTAGTTAAAATATCATCAACTGAGAGCCCAATTCAATAGAGCTGAAATATTCAGCTCTATTTCCACTTTGTTGTCTGTCCATATTTCAGTTCAGTCAATTCTAATATACATGCCATGATCAGCTCATGAAAACTATTTCACAAAATACAGTTGAGTTGATTTAAAACCATATCTTAAAGTACAGTGCCTTCATCATGTTTATCAGCTCACCTCTGATTTATTCAGTAATAATTGTATGACACTTTCAATACAGCTAATCACATGAAAGAGACCAAATTTGAAATGCTGTAGGTCTTCACTCACTTGGCTTGCTATCTATTGCAGTGTTTGGGCTTTGATTAACCAGGGATTAACTGTCACACAAGTAAAAGTGGCAAAAATGCTGGTCTACTATCAATGGACAGTTGCTTGACAGACCTGCTTTAACTTGTGTTGCAGGTTTATCTTGGCGCAACCAAGGCTATGAGAAAAACACTCAACTATAATCAAGACTGTTACACCATGACTGGGTTTCCTGTGATCTGTCTTGTTTCACCATAGACTCCAAGGCCAATAAGGTTCTACCTAAAGCAGTTGGACTGTCTCTCCCACACCTTAAGCAGTACATAGTAGTGCTGGCAATGGAATGGCATACAAAATGCTCAAGGTATACAAAAAGGTTAAATGTAATCATGTCCTGATCTGTGCACACATGGATATGTGTAACTGTATACCAGTAATTTAAGCTTAGGCCTTTTTTTCATTACTTGGTTTACGGATCTGCCGACCCAAAATGTGAAGAAAGTGAAAAAAATTATAAAAAGAAAATAACAGTAAATTATACCTTTCAAATATTCCCTGAAACAGAGTGGAAAAGAGAGAAAGGTAATGCCACAGACTGCTCAGCTGGCATGCTGCACCTGGCATATATGACATATTCAAGTGAGCAAATAACATCTCCATTATTTGCCCTTTTTTTTTTCCTCCCCACCGACCTAGTAATATATTTTTGTTTAAATCCGTAAACCAAGTAATTAGAAAAATAGGCCATACTACATTCTGTTTCAGGACATATCCAGTGTGTGGGAGCATGGCATGCCTTATATGAAGGTCAATAAATGACATTAACCTCAAACAAGTGTCCATCATTATTCAACCCGAGACCTCTGCAATACCTCTGTTGCATTTACACATTTGCATAATGGCATAAAATTTGTATTCAAAGTCATTTTAATGATATTTCAGAACCTTTAATATACTTCCCTCTATTACAGTGATCATGTCACCATAGCTGACAATTCAATAAGGCTAAACATACATTTAAAAAGCTTCCCATTTTCTTCTATTTTCTCAGCATGAATGTTTATTGACTGAATGCATAGTTTTCATAGTTGAAAACATGAGACTTGTATGCCCTGTGAAAAATATTTAGTATGTTGGAATGTTTGGTAAATATTCGATGACTGCTAATTTACTCAATATATAATACATTCCTTTTACCTGCAAGTAATTAAAGCTATCTTGTAGAGGAGCATGGTAAGAGAAAGGCCAACTCTTCATGTGGTTGCTGTTTGAGAACCAACATCCCAGTCAAACACAGCTGGGTATGGTTAGTTTACATGTTTGTTGTCCTGTTCTGTGATAGTACATTATGTCAGATGTTTAGCAGTTACTGTAATATAATAGTAATCATAAAGTGGCAATAATAGAAAATAATTGATCAAATTTACTACCCTGAATCTATGTTCATTGTGTAAACTAATACTGACATGGAGTTACTGCCCTTAATAAGTTGGTTTCTACTTCCATGACAATTGTTTTGATTCAGCATTGTTAAGATGTTTATCTGTGAGTATGTAGTTGTATGAGAAATGCTCGTGTGTGAGTATGCAGTTGTATGAGAAATGTTTGTGTGTGAATGTGTACATGTTTGAGAAATGTTTATGTGTGAGTATGTACTTGTATGGGAAATGTTTATGTGTGAGTATGTACTTGTATGGGAAATGTTTATGTGTGAGTATGTACTTGTATGGGAAATGTTTATGTGTGAGTATGTACTTGTATGGGAAATGTTTATGTGTGAGTATGTACTTGTATGGGAAATGTTTATGTGAGTATGTACTTGTGAGTTTATATGTACTTGTATGTTTTGAGAAACGCTTATGTGAGTATGTATGTTTGTGAGTATGTGACTTGTACTTGGGAAATGTTTATGTGTGAGTATGTACTTGTATGAGAAATGTTTATGTGTGAGTATGTACTTGTTTGAGAAAATGTTTGTTTGAGAAATGTTGAGTATGTGTGTTTATGAGTATGTACATGTATGGGGAAATGTTTATGTGTGAGTATGTACTTGTATGGGAAATGTTTATGTGTGAGTATGTACTTGTTTGAGAAATGTTTATGTGTGAGTATGTACTTGCATGAGAAATGTTTATGTGTGAGTATGTACTTGTATGAGAAATGTTTATGTGTGAGTATGTACTTGTTTGAGAAATGTTTATGTGTGAGTATGTACATGTTTGAGAAATGTTTATGTGTGAGTATGTACATGTTTGAGAAATGTTTATGTGTGAGTATGTACATGTTTGAGAAACGTTTATGTGTGAGTATGTAAATGTTTATGTGTGAGTATGTATGTACATGTTTGAGAAATGTTTATGTGTGAGTATGTACATGTTTGAGAAACGTTTATGTGTAGAAATGTTTATGTGTGAGTATGTACTTGTTTGAGAAATGTTTATGTGTGAGTATGTACATGTTTGAGAAATGTTTATGTGTGAGTATGTACATGTTTGAGAAACGTTTATGTGTGAGTATGTACATGTTTGAGAAACGTTTATGTGTGAGTATGTACATGTTTGAGAAACGTTTGTGTGTGAGTATGTACTTGTTTGAGAAACGTTTATGTGTGAGTATGTACTTGTTTGAAAGGTGTGCCATGTACATTATGTTATTGTTTTGTGCATTACAGGGTGTCATTACCTCTTCCACAAGCAAAATATAGGCTCACACCTGTAGCCTGTGCTGGACATTGTTTTTCCCTCTATTCGGTTAGAAAACTGGAGCCCCCAGTGAGGACATTTTCCATGGAAACAACAGCTGGTCCCTTTATGTGATAGACAGCTCTCCCTCCTTACAGTGTGCATGTACTTACATCTGCCAAGCCATGTACTTCCATAAACTTTCATGGTATCTGTCACTGCTGTCTGTTTGTGGACGTTTATCCCTTATATCAAAAATGTAACTTGTTCTTTATTCCTGAACTCATATCATGATTGATTTTGTATCTCGAAACATGTAAAATACTTCCTTTGTAAACAACAATTTATCGTGTATTACTCCATGGTATGTACTTGTAACCTACTTCTGTGCTGGCTTCATTTATTCTCCTTGTATAGCGACTGTCTTTATCTAAATATGGTTTTGGTAATCATCACATTCAGCCCTCCAACTATATTTGGATTTTGGTTCCGTATTTACCTGTAGTGAGTCTATTTTCCATGTGCATCTGCATCTGCATTGGCAGCATGTTTTGTTGTAGATTTACTTAAGGTAGGTAGATCATAAGAAAGTTTTTGAGACATGCTGGTTGAAATGGATCTCTGTCATGCTGCTGAGTGAGTGAGTATGGTTTTACGCCGCTTTTTAGCAATATTCCAGCAATATCACGGCGGGTCATGCTGCTGAAGGCTGTATTGATTTCATTCGAGTTTGTAATCCTTTGGTACAGGGAGACACAGCTAATTGTTCATGTCACATCAGACATGAAAACCTAAGTATCTGAAAAGTGTACTGACTGCTAAGATTACTGCATACAGCTTTACAGATGGTCCAGACAATACAGAGTCTATGAACTTGATAAGGTTAAGTAAGGTCAAAACTGAAACTAAACTTAGGGCACACTGGCTCAAAGAACACAATCAAAATGATTTTGGATATAAACTGAACAAAACTGACTTTTAATTTAAAAAATGGAGGCTATCAATCATTACAGTATGAGTTTTAACAAAATATGGCAGCAGATCTTGTTAAGAATTATGATATATGTAAGCAGACGCCTACAGACAATTGCAGGTATAACAAATAGCAAGAACCTTGGAACAGGTTTACACCTGTTTTAGTATTTGTATATGTGGAGTTGGATTGTTGGCATTCATATGTCTTTGGTTGCAAAACCTCACCACAGAATCTCTTGAATCAAGATCATTCTAGGGAATGGTTTTCATCTTATTGTAATGCCAATATAAGTCCCTGGTTGCACTATCAGTTGTTTCAGGTGTTCAAGTAAACTTTTCATTTTCTTCCAGAGTTATCAACAATTTCCAGACCAGACACTTTCTGCAGACTGAAACTGATACAGACTTCGGATATATCAAAACCTCTGTGCAGTCTTGTTGGCATGTAAACATGACAACAGACCCCTGGCTGTGTTTGGTAACTGCAGTAAGAAAACAACAGATACATATCAAATAGTGTTAGCTCCAAAGGCTTTGACAATAGAGGATGGATGATGGACAATGTGTGGTGATATAAGCTCACTTGACTTTCACTGTTTCAGTCAGGAAAGCTAAAAATGTGCCACTGAAACAGAAATTAAGACCAATCAAAACAGTTGGACTCATCATCATCATCATCATCATCATCATCATCATCATCATCATCATCATCATCATCATCATCATCATCATCATCATCATCATCATCTTACCCTGACACTCTCTGCCAGTCTGCGTGCCATTTCAGATGAATTCTGAAAGCGGATCATTGGGCACTTCTTCAGTGAGAGTAAAACAGACGTTAGTCCTTGCACTGTTCTCTGAAGAGCATGTGGTGCCCAAGTCAGTGACTGCAAAGCATATAGACATATAATAAATTTTTTGGAAAGATCTATGTTTCCTCAAATGTAACATAATCTATAAGGGACATCACTCACCCATCAACCGTTGTCAGCAAATGATCTGCTGTCAGTCCTTTGACAACACTGACTGAGTGAGTTTAGTTTTACGCCACTTTTAGCAATATTCCAGCAATATCGCGGCGGGGGACACCAGAAATGGGCTTAACACATTGTGCCCATGTGGGGAATCGAACCCGGGTCTTCGGCATGACGAGCCAACGCTTTAACCACTAGGCTACCCCACCGCCCCCCTTTGACAACACAAAAGTTAGAGGCAGACATCATGGTTTCAAACAAAGCCCCATGGAGTTAAGAGGAATGAAGGAAAGTCCTTTCCTCACAAATTCAATATTTATGATAATTCATGAGCAATTCTTTGGAACCAGAAGCTAGCTTTGTTATGATTTTTTTTCTAGAGGATACCAAGAGGATATCCCAGAAATTACAACTACTTTGTGATCTATGGTATGTGACTCATAAACCTTATTGATAGTATTAGGGTGTATAGTCACATTGATCAGCAAATATGAATTGAAGTTTTACTAAGGAAATTACTAAGGAAATGTAGACACCTCTGAAGGACACATCAGTCACAGTGTTAAAGTTTAAAAAGTTACTTGCCTGGCATTCTGCAATTATTGTACTATTTTACCTTGTAACACAAACAAACAAATTCACCTGAGCTTTGCTTATCTTATCACATTACACATTCACCACATCTAGTGGTCTTTGGAGAAAATTTTGCACAGGTAACTGCTATTTCCTGTTCATTTTACAAGACAAATACACACCATGACCTTGACCTACAATACTGTTGTCATGTTTGGTTCATTGACGTTTATATAAAAAGCCCAACATGCAAACTGAATATAAATTTCAAGTCCATTTACCAATTTATTTAGTGTCACCAGCTCACACTTACAATTCAGCTCTTTATGTTTTACAAACTGAAGGAGCAGTGTCCCCAACAAACTTACCTGACAGACACCAGACAGGTTGAGGGAAAACAGATGGGGGTTTACAGCAATGTAGTCTCCAAAGAATTCCTGTAGAAGAAGGCAATACTAGTACATTAAGGCAAGTGGTGAAATTATAGCCAAACTTTGTTGGAAAGTTATTTGTATTTAGTTATTGAACTATCATGCAGTCCCATACTATCACCTGTTTTACTGCCATCACTTACAGTACACCATTGCTTGAACTATCATGCAGTCCCATACTATCACCTGTTTTACTGCCATCACTTACAGTACACCATTCCTTGAACTATCATGCAGTCCCATACTATCTCCTGTTTTACTGCCATCACTTACAGTACACCATTGCTTGAACTATCATGCAGTCCCACACTATCTCCTGTTTTCCTGCCATCACTTACAGTACACCATTGCTTGAACTATCATGCAGTCCCATACTATCACCTGTTTTACTGCCATCACTTACAGTACACCATTCCTTGAACTATCATGCAGTCCCACACTATCACCTGTTTTCCTGCCATCACTTACAGTACACCATTGCTTGAACTATCATGCAGTCCCATACTATCACCTGTTTTACTGCCATCACTTACAGTACACCATTGCTTGAACTATCATGCAGTCCCACACTATCTCCTGTTTACTGCCATCACTTACAGTACACCATTGCTTGAACTATCATGCAGTCCCATACTATCTCCTGTTTTACTGCCATCACTTACAGTACACCATTGCTTGAACTATCATGCAGTCCCATACTATCTCCTGTTTTACTGCCATCACTTACAGTACACCATTGCTTGAACTATCATGCAGTCCCATACTATCACCTGTTTTACTGCCATCACTTACAGTACACCATTGCTTGAACTATCATGCAGTCCCATACTATCACCTGTTTTACTGCCATCACTTACAGTACACCATTGCTTGAACTATCATGCAGTCCCACACTATCTCCTGTTTTCCTGCCATCACTTACAGTACACCATTGCTTGAACTATCATGCAGTCCCATACTATCACCTGTTTTACTGCCATCACTTACAGTACACCATTCCTTGAACTATCATGCAGTCCCACACTATCACCTGTTTTCCTGCCATCACTTACAGTACACCATTGCTTGAACTATCATGCAGTCCCATACTATCACCTGTTTTACTGCCATCACTTACAGTACACCATTGCTTGAACTATCATGCAGTCCCACACTATCTCCTGTTTACTGCCATCACTTACAGTACACCATTGCTTGAACTATCATGCAGTCCCATACTATCTCCTGTTTTACTGCCATCACTTACAGTACACCATTGCTTGAACTATCATGCAGTCCCATACTATCTCCTGTTTTACTGCCATCACTTACAGTACACCATTGCTTGAACTATCATGCAGTCCCATACTATCTCCTGTTTTACTGCCATCACTTACAGTACACCATTGCTTGAACTATCATGCAGTCCCATACTATCACCTGTTTTACTGCCATCACTTACAGTACACCATTGCTTGAACTATCATGCAGTCCCACACTATCTCCTGTTTTCCTGCCATCACTTACAGTACACCATTGCTTGAACTATCATGCAGTCCCATACTATCTCCTGTTTTACTGCCATCACTTACAGTAGGCCCCAACAAGGTCTGATGCCACACACACACACATAGAATTATAAATTCAACTGAAATTGAGTATAGCGAACTAAATGTTGCTATCTTTAGCGTGACATCAATAGATTTACATATTCAGAGAGCTATGTTTCATTTCATAGACATGGCACAACACTGCAATATCATATGCAGTTTGACTTGTGTGGAAAAGAGATTACAGGTTACCTGAACTTCTCTAACCACCTCCTGATCATCAGCTTCTGCCAGCAACTTCACATCTTGTTTGCTGATGACGTTACTCCAATCTGGATCATTCAACATGTTTGGAGAAATTACTGCCTTTGGACTATGCACAAACAGAACATATTTTGGATGGGTTGAAGATGATTTTCAAACAGCTAACAAGTGTAATATTGTGAATCAGAAAACCGAAATGTGTTCATATCAAATTCCAAATCAACTGAAATTCCAAACCAACAGTAGGGAGCAACAGCTGATACAGGAACTATATAATGGAAATGATATTATCATGGATAAGTGTACTGATGCTGTCAGTTCACCGGCAGCGATTCCAAAACTTGGTTCCAGAGTACACCTCATACATGACAGAAATAGACCAGAGAATTTTCTATGACCAGCTATATGACACAGCAGTATCACACTCTGACCTAAGACAGCATGTTCAAATAGAGACCCATCAATCTGTAGAAATGTGTATCTTTACCGAGAAATAGGCATGTCTGAACTTTTTTTTATTAAGCAGGCCAAAAGGCATGTCTGAACTTTTCTTTATCAAGCAACATGCACCATAATGGTAGTCCTTCTATAAGTACAATTTAATTTGTAAAGTATTAAAATAAAATACCTTTGCAATGTTCTTAATAACCTACTGGTAAATATCAAACCATACATACTTCTCAAATGAAAACATTCAATAATTATCTTGACTGAAACAATGTTTGATCTTAATGCCAAGTAAGCTTGGACTTAAATTTTGGGTGCTTAATTACTGATGTAAAAATACAACAACAATAAATCCCCATAATCCAAAAATGATGAAAACAATATGGAGTGTGTTTTCATTTACTTTTGTGAAAAGCTTGGATACTCTGAAAATGTATTTTTTATATACTGTAAGCCATTAAAAACGCAATTGGTATTTGTTGTCCTGAAACTCACAAAAGTTCTATTGAAGATTTTTGCCTGCGATACAGAGGATGTAGGGATAAAAGGCTGTTATTCTGGCCCATTTCGAGTTCGAGTCCCGGAGCATTCCTCTCACATGAACTTTGATACTTAAAACTGAACCTTTGACATTTCTCGTAAACACAACCACATTCATGAAACACGTTGTGCACATGCGTTACCTGCACCCAGGCCCTGTAAAAGCACAAGGAATTGTGGAACTCAATCACTTTGAGAAAATGCCACACTTGACACAAGACGAAAGGAATCAGGTTATCGGTATGGTAAGCCAAGGTGCTTCAGATGTGATGATTGCCAGGCACTTTAATGTGCATCCATCCACTGTAAGTCGACTCAGACAACGTTTTCGGGCTACCGGAAGTGTTGCTGATCGTCCGCGACCTGGTGCACCACCTGTGATAGCAGCTCGACAAAACCGCAATATCCGAGTTTCACACTTGCGAAATTGGTTCCAAACAGCTGATGATGAGGCAAGGAGGACAATTGGGACACGTCAACGTCATTTCAGCGCCCAAAAGGTGCAAGGACGCCTTGCTGCCTTCAACATCCGGTGTCGTCACCCGTACCGTGGTCCAACCTTATTGCATCGCCACAGACTTGCCAGACAGCAATGGGCAGCAAATGGGCCCAATCTTGGCAACAGGACATGGCCAGATGTCATTTTGTCAGACGAAATCAGGTTGAACTTATCCTTTGCAGATGGACGTCCACAGATTTATCGACGTAAAGGAGAAAGACTTGTGCCAAACTGTGTCCTTGAACATGATCGTTTTGGAGGGGGTGGTGTCATGATCAGACCACAGACCATCAGAGGCTGCAGACCATCCAACAGCTGTTCCTGAGAAATGTGTGTCTTTCAATGCCCCAAAGACTGCGAGCATGTCTTGCAGCGCACGGTGGACACACACGATATTGACTGCAAGTGACCCCTCATTTGTTTGATGTCGTTGTTGCGTCACTGATGTTGTTGTTGACTGGACATTTTCAGATGAAATTATTCACAGATGTTCACTTAAAACATATCTGCCAGTTAGGTTTATATATGTTGAAATTGGTGTGACTAAAGAAAGTATGAATGTCAAATTGCGTTTTTAATGGCTTACAGTATATGTATCAGCAAAGTAAATTAGGTCATTAACACTAGTTGTACCAGTTAAAGAAAACTGTAAAACATTTTCACAATTTCAAAGCATATCTATATTGTTGGTCTCATGTCTTCTGGAATTGGCTCAGTGAAGCAGCAGTTTCAGACAATAAATATAAAACAAAACACTCTGAACATGATGAAAGAATATCAAGAACAGGTCCAAGGTCCACAAATCAATCTTTGCTCTTGGAGCATTTAAACTCCAATCCTTTAACACAGACTTATGACAATTGTAGCACTAGGATTACATTGTGGAATGGGACCAAGTGTAGGTTGACGTTTATGATGAACATCATTTGTTATCTCTTCCTTCATATACATCAGATATTTTTAATGCAAAAAACCAAAAGTTTCTTGAAACTACTCACAAATGTAATAAAGTCCATACTTGGGAACTCGAAGTTCCTGACACAAGAGCTCCACGTTCTCCTTGCTGGGGCGCAGGAAGGCAATGCACTTGAGATGCTTCATGGTCTCCCGCCCACTTGTGTCAAGTCTTTCAAACAGGTACACCTCTTTCTGTAGGATCTCAGACTGCGCATACACCATGCTTACCACACCAGTCTGAACAGAAAAGAAAATACATTTACAGAGTCTGAAGCACAGTATGTACATAAGGAAGCAAGGTCATCAAAACAAAATTGTGCGCAATGTCAGTGCCAATGTTTGGGGGATGTCTAAATTCACACTGAGTAACCATGATCTTCAATGTCATCAATCACATCCAAGGACATTATTTGCTAAGAACATGTGATGCTACAAACCATGCTGACAATAGTTTGTGAATTATTTAACAGCGATTTCATGAGTGACTAACCTTTTAATCATTTACAAGGACATTGACCTTTCTATGATATTTTATGTTGAGTGGCACCAATAGAAACAATAAACACAACATTTTTCACAACCGTGACAAATTGAAAGTATTGAGTTAATTCTTGTGAGGCTACCTGAAAAGATCGGAAAAGGAGATTTTAATCTGTTCAACCAAAATAACCTGAGCTATGTTTCACAATGTGCCCATAAGATCATGTGTACTAAGTTTTATCAAATTCCAGCCATAAAATGTGTACATAAAACTTTTAGGAAGCCCAATCACCCTGGGAAACACATTGCTAATTTAGTCAGTGTTACAGAAAGTAGAATCCCTTGTAATGATCCCTTGACCTTGTCATACCAAAGTCACTGAAAGGCCATACTTGGTGTTACCCTACCCTTTTCTGGGCATTAGAGAGGTACAGAGAGGACAGGTCTGCTCAGAGTCTGTATAATGTGTCTGAATCCATGCGAGACTGTAGAATGGTATTTCAGTGGGGTAGCACTACATGCAGTACATGCAGGCACACAGGGAAACATGCCCTGTGCTGAAAATGGGAAATAATCTTGAATGCCTTTAAACCAACTTTTCTCGTAGCTTTCATCCCTCCTATGTTACAGTATAAGAGGTATGAATGCTACAAGAAAAGTTATAAGATCTTAGGCTTACGAGAGCTGTGTGAAATGGGGCCAAGGTGTCCGAAGTGACCTGGAAATTTGAAATAGCCATGACATGTGACAAGTTTTGAGTCAGCTACCAGTGGTTATGTCAAGTCATACTCCAAAGTGTCATTTACAATTATGTTTTGAGTCGGAAATCTTGTGACATGGCAGTACTACCAAAGCTGATGCTCCAGAAACACTTCTGTGAAGCATAACCAGTTTCCTGACATTCGAAAAATAAATACTGTTCTGCAGATAATAGAGAGACAAGTAAGATGTAACCAAAGATCCAGCAAATATTGAAAGAAGCAACTTTAAGTAATACAGTGCCAACTTACTGCCTGCTGTACAATTATGCACTCCATTTGGAAAACACATGGAAAACCGTTATTAAATTGCCCTGCATAGCCTTATTTTACAGAAGAGCTCATGTTCATGGTGTTGTCTTTTAGTCTACATACTGTACATCGGATATATTTTTCAGAATAACTAAACACCTGCAAAACATGCATACAGCTTTAAGGGGAAATACACTCTAACTTTAACGGCACTGATACATACATGAATTGATTTTTCCTACACAGACTCTAGTACTTGCTTCTTCGGTAACTTCAGAAGTGTGACCAATACTTGGAACTGAGTATTTCACTCCACCTTGGCAGATAAATGATCCCACTGCTTAGGTAAGGACTGGACTATGGTTGGCGAAGCAGGTCTACTCTGTAGCGTTAGTCCCAGGAGGTGTGATTTAGCGGGTCGCGTTTTCAGGATCGCCATATCTAAATGAACAGATTTGACTGTCGCAGAAGAAGGTCCATGTCCAGCAGTCGAATCATTAGCATTTGCCAAATGTGAGCCAAAGGTCCAGATAGCAGATTGTCTGGGGTCTTGCTTTTAGACAATTGTAGATTGTCTGCTATCCATGCTAGCATGTGTGTTGTAGCTACAAGTTCGATGCTACCCCCAGGCTTAGCCATGTTAGGGTGAAGTTTGCCAGTGTCACTCTAATATCTTGCTATAAATAGGTAGATAGGATGGCTGAACTGAGAGCGAGGGGTTCACTGATGTCGATAGGATTGGCGAACATCTGGAGATGTCCGGAGATATCGCCAATTCATGAGAGATCGTCGCAGTCCGAGGGATCGCTGATCCTGGTTGGTTCTCTGATTCGAAAGGGATCACCGAAGTAGATGACATCGCCGAACATTTGGAGATTCCAGAGGGATCGCCGATTCATGAGAGATTGATTCCATATGAGGGATCGTCGATCATGGCTTGAATGACGCACCCTGTGGATTCGGCGAACAGTGAATGACCACCACTCATGAAGCGATACAGTAGCCGAGCCTTACAAGTTCGTTTGCCATAGGTCAGGAATCTGGGCGATGGTGCAGGGGAAGAGGAGAATGACTACACAAATGGGTCACATGTCCTATCAGAGCTGTCAAAACAGGGCGTAGGTATAAAACAGGGAATGACTTGAAACCAGTATTGTTCAAATTGTTGTAAACATGCCTGTGTTGACTTAACATTATGGGAAAATCGTTCTATTCTACATTTAATTTGTTTGCTATTCTAATGATGACATGACACTCTGTTAACTGCATGTTAATGCCTTGAATGAAAGTTTTCTTGCTGTTTCTGAAATGAAACTTAGAATCATGATCAAAAGTAAGTGGGTCTGTCTGCCTGCCTGCCTGCCTGCCTTGTGGTTCTTGTCTTAACAAACTTCCAGATGGAGTTTTGTTTGTTGTGAGGAATGAATCAGCAAAGACCCAGAGTCACAAGAGACTAATTACAATTATATTTCCTAGAACAAAATAACAATATCTTGAATATAGCAGGGAATGTGTCTGGGTCGGTACAACCCTCTGGGTTGAAGGCAAGAACTACCCTTGGTTTGAGAGTCTAACTCCTGCCTATCATCCTGGTTCTCCAACTATTTTACAAAAATTTAAACAACATAAAGAAAAGGACTCATTATTGATATAAAATGGGGCATGTCCTTCAAGAAATTGCTGCACAGAAGACAATGTTTAATCTTATTTATTGTACTAGCATTGATCTTGTTGACATATTAACTGAAGGGGATAATGATATCACAACAAACGAGTTTGTATGGGGCTAAATCTTAATGAGCCTAACCTGAATGTTATTCCAATATAGGTGATGACACGTTTACTTACATGAACAATTTCACGGCAATTTATTAAACTGTGCGGCTTTGCTTCGTTCAATACTGCCAGGAGATGGGTTCTTGTTACCTTAGGTTAGTATTTGTCTATTAGCTATAACTAATACTAAAACTAAAAGTAAAATATCCATATTTTCTGTGAATCCTAATATGTTTTTTCTTTAACACCACACTCAGCCATATTCCACCCATATGACAGCAGTCTGTTAATATTCACTAGGGTTGGGTATTGCCAACATTTTTGTACTGCAATATATCGTGATATGTGTTGGCGTATTGCAATATGTATTGCAATATATTGTGAAAGTGTAACACATGATTTAAGGTAATTAAATTATTGTTTCCTTTCTTTTGAAACAATGCCACTGGCCACTCAGATGTAATTACAAGAGATCAACTGAAAATGTTTCCAAATTGAAGACTTCGCTCTAAAGTTTGGAACTCGCACAGCGATAGTAAACAAAACATTCTAGCACGACATTGTGTGATACTCAATTCTGACAGGCTGAGAGCTCATCAAAAGTGTACTTAAAGGGCAGTTTACGGACGGCTAATTAAAGTGACTGACTGACTGCGTACGAATACAAATAACGCGTTGACCCTTTTGTTTGTAAACAAACATATTGGACATCGGCGACTGCTACTTCAACAGCATCTTTGATGTTTTGGAAGTAAAAAGCAAATGGTTTGAAGAAGAATTTCTTTGGCTAATCCCATTGAAAAAACTTCAAAGCAGGAAAATTTATCAGCAGCACAAAAACGTCAGTATTCCACCATACTTCAAACCGGGTCTAGATCTAGCAGGCCTGACAACACACATCTTAACCTGTCCACCTCAGTCCTGGCCTTAATGCCGAGTCCTTCCACTTCCATTGTCTATGTTTCCCACATAAATGCTGGCATGTCCTTTCTTTTCCAAACTGGGAATAGTAGCATGGTTATCAACAATTACTTCCGTGAATTAAGTTAGCGGCGACTACACTTAGTGAGTTCACTGCTTGAATTGGGACTAGTCGATAGTCATACAGTAGGGAAGATTAATAATACGCTTGAGTGAGTGAGTGAGTTTTATGACACACTCAGCAATATTCCACCTATATGGCGGCGGTCTGCAAATAATCGAGTCAGGACCAGACAATCCAGTGATCAACAGCATGAGCATTGATCTGCGTAATTGGGAACCGAAATAATATACTTGAGAAAAATCAAATAATTGTACTTGCTCAAAGTATAAACTGTATTTTTGGTAATCTATTTATGCTACTTGTTACAAATACAAGCATATTGGTTCCTGAAATAAAGCATTTATGTCGTTGAAAATGTCTTATTTTGTTCATTACACAACCTGTTCCTCAACTGGACGATTCCAAGCGATTTCCAGGAAAAAGGCCCCGTCATTCCTTGTGTTCTTGCGCGCTAAAGAGTCCGGTTTTAAAGCTCTTATCAGTCATGATAGAATGTAGATAAAGGTACTCTGTGTTCAGTTTTCCGATCCTTTATCGTTGATTTAAGACCACTAAATGTAATTAAAAAACCAAACGTGTTTGCATTTGCATGAGGCTTTTAAATTGAACGGCAGCAGTCTTAAATCAATGATAAAGGACCGCAAATTGAAGACAGAGTACCTTTATCTTCTAGTTACAGATCCATGTATTTGTTTATTTCTAAAGTTTGTGGTGCTGTATTCTAAAGGTAGTCCCAAAACTTTACGGATGATCAACTTCTTTATATTCAGAATAGCGACATTTCGGTATAGCTTCTTATAGTGACTATACCGTTTTCAAGTTTATGTTCTTATACCGTTTTCAAGTATACACTTGAAAACGGTATAGTCACTATAAGAAGCTATACCGAAAGGTTGCTACTGTGAATATAAAGAAGTTGATCGTCCATAAAGTTTTGTCACCTCTGGCATGATAATGTTTCACATGAACCAATTTGACAAGAGAATGGAAAATACTCTCCCCATCACTCTTCACCATCTAAAGGAGATCTGATTGCAAGACAGAATTAGAGTAAGCTTGCCTAACATCAACCTTAGACTGTTGTAATTCTACAACCCATTATCACGAGCTATTTAATTATGTGTTCTGGGTATATATTGTATTCTTGTACTGTGCACAAGTATGTATGGGTGTGTGTGATCTGTCAGTAACATGGCACCCTTTGACTTAATATCTTGGACACAATGAAACAGTATAAGACAGAGTGAAATGTGGAATCATTAACTAATATTAACTAAGGAGCGTTTGATCAGCAAGGGTACCAAGTCTAATGATTGTAAACGAGTGCTTGCTTAGTCAGATAAGGGATCAGTGCCACTGCCAGGGTCGAGTTGCATGTTACCTATACCAACGTGCCCTTACACAGCATAAGCTCCTCCTAGAGGATAGAAAAGAGGTAGGCGAAATTGGTCAAACCAGAGCCACAACCCGCAGCCACAGCAACAATGAAGGGTTCTTTTTCTAGCCTCTGACTTTTAGTGTAAAATATCATCAAAGGAATATTGATGAGACTGTCGTGCTAATAGTTACTTACAGTATCTTTATCCATTAATAATACTTTCATTCCGGGTCCACTGTCGTCAATCATTTTGCTGATATACTGCTTAACTGCTAATATGACGTTCATTTTTTTATGTTTCAGCAAAGACGTATCTGCTATATATTCCTGGTCTATATGCAGGAACAGGAAAACAACGTTCTTCCTTGTCTTCTACGCTAACTGGGTTATCTCCCTTGTTTCGTGTCTATAAATGACGAACTGACAGAAAAACGGATTTCAACCCAAACATATGTTCATTCAAATAATCATAAACAAGGAAATAAATGGTCGCTCTAACCATATGGCTGCTTGAAAATTTATACTCATTAGATCAGCAGATGCCAAGCTTTAGTTTTGCATTTTCGCATTACGTACCGCCTTCGACACATTTCTGTAACCTAGTACAGTATAGTGTTATTGTCAGCGAGGGGAACATGAGTGAGTGAGTGATTTTAGTTTTACGCCGCACTCAGCAATATTCCAGCTATATGGCGGCGAGGGGAACATGCACAAAGGTTTCAAAATATGTTTCACGTGATGTGCGATTTGAAATTGGAAATTTTACAGTCTAACAACCATGTTGCACTATTTTAAACCTGCCAAGGGCCACAACTGACAATCAGCATCAGACATAATCCGGGACCAGTATCTCGTATTGTGCTGGGGGTTGTAGTCAAATGGGCCGAAGAACAAAAGAGCCGAAAAAAAAGTCAAATGGGCCGAGGCCAAAAATCAAATGGGCCGAAATCAAAAGTCAAAAAGGCCGAAAAATAAAAATGTAATAAATAACATAATGACCAGTCGGAAATCTTCGTTGTTTGGCGGCTGTATAAAGAAGGTGAACTCAGCCCAACTGCGCTTCTGACGATGTGTTCAAGAGTGTATGCCCCAAGTGTGTTTGAATGAACTTGTGAGAAACTGAAACATGCTGGAATGAACCTAACCTGTAGTGGCTCTGATACTTTAGTGCTTAAGAACTTTACATTATGAAGTATGTCTGACTGACTGACTGACTGACTGACTGAGTTTGGTTTTACGCCGCTTTTAGCAATATTCCAGCAACATCACGGCGGGGGACACCAGAAATGGGCTTCACTCATTGTACCCATGTGGGGATTCGAACCCGGGTCCACTAGGCTACCCCACCGCCCCTGAAGTATATGTACTGTCATTAAATGCAAAGACATGCTTGGTAATTACCATTTTATTATTGTTATGATATTAAAAATGAAAAACATTTGTAAACTTTTTTTGGTTCGGTTCATGTGACTAAGAATAAGGCCCATTTGATTTCACCACGGCCCATTTGACTTTTTCCATCGGCCCATGTGACTTGGCACTTCTCGGCCATTTGACTAGATCCCTTGTGCTGGTAATCTAAGATATCCAAAGTAATACATTTATCTGTATTAACGGCTATGATCTGTTTGATTGGCATTTTAGAAGTTGATGGATAATAGAAAAGTATAATACTTTATGGATAACAATTTCTTTATGTATTATGATACGACGTTTCGGTACAGCTTCTTATACCGTTGTCAAGAAAGAATAAAGTAATACAGCACAGAACCGACTTATATTATTATTATTATTACATGATATTTATATAGCGCACATATCCACGTGACTAGTACATGCTCAAGGCGCTGGTATTTCCCTCGATCACTGGATGTCAATCTCAGCGGCACATCGTATTATCAATCTCAACTCCCCAGGGAGCATACAACATGTAACAGGGATTAAGTAAGACAACATGAGGGAATACCATGTCTTACTTAATGCCAATCCATAAAGTATTATACTTTTCTATTAACGGCTATGTTTATATTCCATGCTGGTCAAATCACACCAGTGCCACGCACACACCCGTGTCATACTCGATACACAGCTATTCTATAAATTTATCATCGATGCTTCGGTCAAACCGTGAAATGATATAATTCTGTCAAGATAACGCAACGGAAGTTCAAAAAGAAATTATATCGTCAATTTAATCGGTAAATTCGGCAGGAGGAAATAAAGACATTCATTCATTCATTCATTCATTCACTGGCAGCTTAGTTTTATAAGGGCTTGAGGGATAAAGAGGAATAATATTCCTGTGTACAAAGTTACATCTGCCATATTTATATACATGGGTAAACAGTATGTGTAAAAGTATAGGCTGAAAATGTTGATTGATGTTTGCATAATACGTGAGTGAGTGAGTGAGTTTAGTTTTACGCCGCACTCAGCAATATTCCAGCTATATGGCGGCGGTCTGTAAATAATCGAGTCTGGACCAGACAATCCAATGATCAACAGAATGAGCATCTGATCACCGACTGTTATATACTGACAGTGTACATATAGGGGAAAATGTTCCCATATCCTATATATGTATGATATGAGTGTCTCTGTTTGGGTGTTTTGTTACTTAATTATATAATTACACAACCATGATGTTTTTGGTATCTTCGGCCCTATCTGGAGGAAATAAAGACATTCATTCACGGCTTGGTTTTGTTAAGGGCTTGAGGGACACGCACTACATCTTAACTCTCTTACTACTAAATATACCCTGTATATACAGAACTGGTTGTTGGTCTCAGTTTATCTCTATTTTTACAAGTGAAATACATATAGTTAAAGTTATAAGAAATACGCCATAGTTAGACATGGCGAGGTGGTCTTTCGCGTTGTTGTTTCATGAATGGAAATAAGGATTCCAGTGAAGATTCATTGTGGCTGTCTATCCTCTTCATTTATGTCGATTACCTCCCTTGAGAAGTTGCTCATTTCTCGTGTTATCGGCCTTGACCTTCCTTTCCTACTCCATCAACAATATGGGTATGGCAGAATCTTTGATAGCTTCAATTCATCCATTGTAATCGGCCACTAAAACGCTTGATCGTTTGTTTTTGTGTGTGATATTTTAAAGTCCGATGGCTAGTAACTATTTTCAACGGTACAGTGTTTTCATAAAAGTTCGCTTTACTTCAAAATGTGCAATGAAATGACGAAACGTGTGGTTCAAACACATGCATCATGGTGGACTAGTGTATTTCAGGATAAAACAGAAATCCAGAGGGACGGGGTGCCCACCCCTACCACCCTCATTTCAATGTTTGTGAAGCACGTTAATTATAATTCTTTTATTCCATAGGAAGTTTATTTGTCGACGAGTACACGTATTAATTCAATATTAGTTCCCCAGCGTTTCAGATCGGTTCTTTTTCCTTTGACATTGACTTAAGCCAATCAAATTGTCCTGGAACATTATTCGACTATGACATAGAAAGTTGATTAAATTCTGAAAATGTCCTGTTAGTGTATTAAATATCATTGGCGTTGTTAGGTATCTTTAGGGCCAATGAACAGTTCGTTTTCTGTGAAAATCAAAGAGGTGTTGAGGATACCATGGCCAGCATATTCTCCAAACCTTGCTCCCACAGAGCATGTGTGACATCCTTGGTAGGCATATCCGTCAGAATCATCCTCTGCAAGTGAACGCTGACCAACTGTTCAGATTTCTGGACCAGGAGTGGCAAGCAATACCACAGTCACTGAGGATATTAGTGAGGTCGATGAGGGCTAGATGCGCAGAGTGTGTCAGAAACAGAGGTGGACACGCGCACTGCTGATTTGCAATTGAGTCTGTGACTTTGCAAACTGACCCTTCGTCATTCGGTTGAATTTTCATATTCATGGAATAAAAGCTAAAGTGTCGTATAACACAAGTTTCAATAGGCGCTTTTAACTTCTGAAAAAGTAAATGAGTGTTCCCATATTTCTTCCGAATGAGTACATAATACATGTGCCCAACAATATCTCCTGTTATTTTTATACCCAGCACTGCATGTAATTTTCAAATACACAAAGTTGACAGCTTTAAAGGAAGGGGCACAGTGGTAGGAGGAACAGAGCAAACAATGTGCTGCAGGCTTATTTCTGATTGTCAGCCTCTATTCATAGCACAGATTGAGGATGAAGATTTTTTAAATAGATTTAGATAGTGATTCCCATAGTCTTCTTTATTATGAAAAAGGAGGCTGAATGATTCTAAATATTGCTGTCATGTGATCATTTACATTTGTAACTGCTATTTTGGTTGACAGGTATCTCGCGGGATAAGTGGCATAAAAGGAGGAAGACTGGTGGTCGCATGAACCAAATGCGTAAAAAGAGAAAGTTTGAACTAGGAAGACCATCTGCATCAACCAAGGTAAACTGACTAGAGCAAGGTCTTGCCCCTTGTTTCAATCAGTTTGTGTTACTGATTAGGAAAGTATCTTATTTACTTCTTACATTTTTTTGTATAGACAATCCAGATATCAACAGCATGAGCATCGATTGATGCAAATGCGATACGGTGACAGACAAACTTGATTATTTACAGATCGCCAACATATATATGGAATATTGCTGTGTGCGCCGTTAAACAACCAACCAACTAGTGTATAGTCCTATGAAAGGATTGAAAAGAGGAGTGCGCATTATACATGCCATATATTGTTTCCCTTTTTGTATCCAAATACAGCCATTAACACGATACCCGTGAAGGTCCGGGTTAGAATATTGATCTTCAGTAACCCATGCTTGTCGTAAGAGGCGACTAACGGGATTGGGTGGTCAGGCTCACTGATATGGTTGACACATATCATCGGTTCCCAATTGCGCAGATTGATGCTCATGCTGTTGATCACTGGATTGTCTGGTCCAGACTCGCCGCCATATAGCTGGAATATTGCAGAGTGCCGCGTAAAACTAAACTCACTCACTCACTCATTAACATGAACTTGCAACACTGAAAATACCATGTCAACAAATCTGAAATTAAATACTCAGTTTCGTCATTTAAGTACACTGGTGGTTAAATGTGTTTATTGTTTATCTGGACTTGCGTTTTTTTCTTTTGTATTGAATTTACTTAAAATTTCATTCAACGTGCTTCAAGTTCTGCAAAATCGTGCGAGGTTATCAGGAATGCACCAAATCCACATCATTTGGTGCAACCACAGTCCTATTACGGCTACTCATGCCTTGAAACAAACTTCTGTATACAGAAATGGATGCAATTATTTATATGTCATACATTTACTTGTCAAGTCATTTGGAGCAGTGTGACTAAAATATGTCAATTTAAATGTTTTGGCAACCAAGATAGTGACTTGTCAAATAAATAGTTCATGTACCAAAGTGCTCTGCATGTTATAATTTTCATACCTTTTATATAATTCATATTTGCATGGCAGAAATGACTTAACATCTTTTATGATAGCATGAATGTTGACAGTAATGTATGTTCAGTGCCTGTCGCTGTCAGTTTGTATATTCTGTCATGGGCAAATTTAGAAGTGAACTTCAGGCTGTCCATATTTTTTTCTATTTATGTGAAAACTATTCCCTTTTCTCAGTTTTTCTGGCCACCATGAACATTTTTTACCCGATGTAACTTTAAAAATACTGTTACCCTTGCACACGCCTGGAAAAAGGGAAGTCAACTGGATCTTTAGCTATTTATTAAGAAAATGGTTTCCAAATTAAAGAGAGAAATTCATTTGAGGCAAAGTGGTCTAAATATTTAAATTTTGTCAAATAAGTTACACAAGTAGTTCAAAAGATTTTTGTATTTTTGTCTTATTTGTGTTTGTCCTCTACTCTACTTGTTGGTTGAGGCTGGAGATGTCTCTCCCGAATGTCTCTCCTGAAGGTAACATAACTGTTATTTGATTTACATGAAATTATAGCATTATACCAAGACACTAATGCCATCGAATCTTGTTTTGTTTAGTGTTTTTATTTATTAGAATACACAGTCATGTTTGGGACCCCCCACCCCAAACCGGCCCCCAATGACTCACTTTGCCAGTAGAGAAAGTCACATTCAAAAACATTCTTCCACATCAAAGGAGTTGATAACTGCATGGGACCTCGACTGATAGTGACCAGCTTTGTCCCAATACAAGGTGTTGATTCAGTTGAATACAGACTTCAGATCTAAACTACAGAAATGAATGTCTGCTACTTCGAGAATATTAAATTTAAGATTGTTTGTGTCAGATGTTTTCCTGATTATCTATTGTGCCATAAATGGTAATGGCTTCAAATGAGACACATGCCTATGGAGAAAGAAAATAAGTTCTACCATTAACCCAGTAGTTGTCATTTACTTCTGATAAAATTTGAATTATAGGAATAAGCACAATCAAATATAAATCTGGTTTCAACTTAAGTCTTACCCAGTTATTGACGAAAATATAGCAATGGGTTTCATGCTATAGTGCTAGTTAACAACATTAGCATGATTAGTGTGCTATGCCCTACCCAGGTGGTCCAGACTATGCGGGAATCAGGGAGTCAATATTCAAAGTTGTGTTCATGTTTTAATGTTATTATTTTAATTCTCACAACAAACTATGAAAATATCAAAACTGCCATTGCCAATAAGGGAACAGTTGCTATTTTTAAAGGCCGGAGAACAAACTTTAAAAAGTCCCTTTGGGTTTCCAGTTAGTCACACATTGGCTACTCACCAGCAGTGTAGACTGTCTGCCCATGAGTGACAGGACTGTAACGGCTATGGGTGCCTGGCAAAGGTAAAGCTTTGAATTTACTACTATAATAAACATGTACCTTATGGTAATTGTCCAATGACCTTTTCACTACATATATTTTAGAACTTAACAATAACAAAAATACTATGCAAATATCGCCCTCTCTAGGGAGCAGTGTTCATTTTAGCCCAAGTAAAAGCTGGGCCCATGGCCCATCTGTAGTAAGTTATGTGAGTTAAGAAAATAATGAAGGTCATGTCAAATTGCTGTGGCTTGTTAGCCGGTACCTGTTAGCCATACATTACTCAGTAGTTACTAATTTGAGTTCACTTAATTCATTTGACTTCAAATACAGGTAATGTCAACAATTGGAACATGAGAAACCAAACCAACAGTTGTTCAACACATTCATTAAACAGTTAAGAATAATTCAAAATGAATTTGAAACCCCAACTGAAATGAACACCAACTCTGCAACAACAGTGTTTTCAATAGTATTTAAACATCACAACTCCATGCTTCATGGTCCTGGTGTTTTTCCAGGGGCACATCCTCTTTTTGGTTATTGTTGTTGGTTGGGATCCCTGTATCTTTATCATGACACGGTTTTTGCTTCTTCATGACAAAAAGATTTTTCAATTGACATCTTGGTTTGACAGCCGGTGTGCTGGTGTCCCTCATAGCAACAAAAGTATGAAACTTCAACATTGGGTCCTGTAAGTTTCAGATGTCTGACTGACCCATTCAAAATTCACAGGACCCATAGAATAAAATTAAACACACTTTTCATATTCAACATTTCTTATAATTGGCATTGAAATTTTTAACAACGTAAGATTTATAAAGGGCAAACTAGTGTCACATGTCACATATAACAACTTCAGTCAAAGTCATTGTGAAATATACAGTCTGACATTGGGGCCGGCGGGTTGTAGACTTCTATCGGACCGTAGGCAAATCTGCCGGATTTGTCAGAAGGTCAGACGCTATTCGTGAACACTGTAAACCTGCAAAGCAAGGGGTCAGGGCAGTGGGGAGGGGGGTAAGTTTAACTCCCCATCCTAGGAAACTAGTGAAATGAGAAACAGAATGAAACGTTTCCTCCACTAGCAGACATCTTGCTAGTGATGTGTTTAGATGAGTTTAGTTTTACACCGCACTCTGCAGTATTCCACTTATATGGTGACAGTCTGTAAATAATTGGGTCTGGAACAGTCCAGTGATCAACAGCATGAACATAGATTTATTCAAAAGAGAAATATATTTTCAAAATGTATATGTTGTAGACACTGCATCAATACCTTTTCATAAGATACTTTATATTATGGCTAAATTACATCATGAACCAGTAAGTCCATATTGTGACATTTCATTGAATGTACTTGAGTATTGCTTTGTATTACATCGAAAGACAGCTTTAACTAGACAGTGTCTACACCCCATTTATGTATTGGTTTGAACGCTTGCCCTAAGTTAGCTGCATGTGTCACACGTGAAAAGAAAGTCAGCCAGTTGTTGGTGGGATAGTTCCCGATATCCGAGACAATTTTTTTGGGAAAGATTTCAAACAAGTCCGGCATCACATCTAATCATTGTCATCAGACAAATCCTGCCCCCAAGCAAAGTTGAAGAAAATAACTATAGTCATCATTGTTGTCATCCATGTAGGGAATCTGATTCAGAGAAATCAGTCTCCATCGTGATTCCTTTCATTTCCATTTGTTTCAAAAGTCTGGATGCCTTTTCTTCTTTTTGTTTTTTCTTCTAGTTCTTTCTCTCAGGGCTTTTATGACTGCTTTCTCGTCTTTAACTTTTGCCGCCACTTAGTTGTTTTCGGTCACATGAATGTCCGGATTAGAATATTGATCTTCAGTAACCCATGCTTGTCGTAAGAGGCATACGGGATCGGGTGGTCAGGCTCGCTGACTTGGTTGACCCATGTCATCGGCTCCTAATTGTGTAGATCGATGCTCATGCTGTTCAGATTGGTATCTTCATAATTACAGTGCATGTAACTGATGGTATTTGTTGGAAACCTGATGCTTGAAGTTCTATTGTAGTAGGCCTGGATTCTACTGATACAGGTTGCGCTGTTGTCATTAGACAATCCATCAACACTAAAATTTCCATTTAGTGAAGATAGGTGTCTGCTTTGCCAAACAGAAAATATATACCGATAATTCTTCTTCAGTTAGGATCCAAGAGAATTCACACCGTGAGAACCCGAGGTGGCAGCATCAAGTTCCGGGGACTTCGACTAGACCAGGGAAACTTCTCTTGGGGTTCAGAGAGTAAGTTTTTCTTTGTTATTTAAAGTCAAAGTGAACCGTTCCTATCCTTCCATTATCTTGACTTTAATTGTGACTGAAAGTATACATGTCAAGACATCAGGGCTCTGACTTTTGCATGATGTAAAATAAGCATTGTTAGAACAAATTAAAGTCATTGAAAACCTTGAATCTTACATTTGGTTTTGTTGATTTTCTTATATCATTCTTATATGATATTCTTACACATATTATAAGGTAAAAACAGTAAAATTAAAAGTTTCAAACTTTGTATTTGAAAGGTTTGGTACAGAGAGCTGATGCTTTCAAAAAAACCCTCATGTCCACAAAAAACTTTGCTCATTACTTTGTCGAATTTTTCTGCATGCTGCTGTACCCGCAACAAGGCGTTTGCATGTACTCATGTCGCCACCCTCTGGTCATTTACTAACGTATTCGTGGGTTCTTTTAAGTGCACAGGTTTGTGTACTGTACACTAGGGGTTGTGACAACACTGACAAAGTCTACACTCAAAGTTGACTCCAAGGATTTTATACCCAGTCACAGGTTGGCTCAGTCCCGTCACCACAAGCTCACTGGATCACTAGCCTGGCGCTTTAGCCAGCTCACCCACCATGCAACCATTAATAAGCCAAAACTGCGGTGTGCACATTTACAAATATAACAGAATGATGACGACTTGCAGAACAACACAAATAATTAATTGAAGTGCAACAACCATGGTGCCTTTGGGTGTTCCAAAAGTACAGCAGTTGGTAACTGAATTGAATAGGTCACAAGTCAGTGCAAAAGATGGATTTTTTGTACTTTGGTAACAAGTGATTTGATTGTTGCATCGTGCGAGTCAACAGCAACAAGAAGGTTGCTTGCTGCTCGTAAGACAGGTTTCATATCTTACAGAGGGACTAAAGTGACCAACTACATCATCAGACAGGATCATTATGGGCATTTGGCATTTGTAAATACTCAGTTGGTGAAAACATCCTGTGTCTTCCCAAAAATGATTGCAGGACAAGATTTGACATACTTGTCAACTTCAGTAAAGTATGCCCAACAGAGACTTGAGTGTCATGGTCTGGGATGCATTATATCTGTGATGATAGGACAAGTCACAACCATACAAGTCATCATTAATGTAATGTAACTGATACAGGAGTGACTCGCCAAGACAATTCGTGTGACATTTAGATGCCAGATTTGACATTCAGCACGTGTCAGGATTTGTTTTAATAATAATAATAATAATGTATTTATAAAGCCCCTAATATCCACCATAGAGATGCTCGGTGGCACTGTGACAATATTGGGGAAGGAAATAGTTCATGTAACTTTATAGAAAGGCAGCAGTGAATAGATGGGTCTTTAGCAGAGATTTAAAAGTTTCTTTCGATGAACTGTTCCTGATTTCCTTTGGAAGAGAGTTCCACAGTTGAAGGCTGGCAAAGGAGAAGGCTCGGTCAGACAGTTGGTTTGGAGATATGTGTGGGGTGAGGAGAGAGTCGGGAGGATCGGAGACTTCGCTGAAATAGTCAGGAAAGTTATTGTTTTGGAGGCAGTCATGAGTCAGAATGAGGATTTTGAAGGTAATTCTTGCAGAGATGGGGAGCCAGTGTAGAGACTGTAGTACTGGGGTGATATGGTCATGACGATGAGTGTGGGTGATACATCTGGCAGCAGAATTTTGGATTCTTTGTAGTTTCTGGAGTGATTTAGTAGAGAGGTTGGCACATAGTGAATTACAGTAGTCGAGTTTGGAAGTGACAAGACAGTGCATCAGAAGTTTACAGGTGTCAGTATCAAGGTAGTGGCGGACTTTGCTGATATCATGGATGTTGTAGTAGCAGGCTCTACTGATGGAGGTGATGTGTGCATCCATGGACATGTTTGAATCGAGGATGACACCAAGATTCCTGGCACTTTCTGATGGTAGGATGTCTGTGTCACTAATACGAAGTGAAGGTGATGGCAAAGCAGTCTTCAACTTTATAAGCTGATGTTTGGAGCCAATGAGAAGGATCTCTTGTCTTCTCCTCATTCAACATCAAATAGTTGGAGATCATCCACGATCTGATTTCCTGAATGCACAGTTCAAGTTTGTTATCCCCCGCAACGCGTTTTGCGGGGGGTATTAAAATGGACTCCGTCCGTGCGTCCGTCCGTCCATCCATCCATCCGTCCGTGCACATTTGTCTTTTCCGGAGCAGAACTCTAAAACCGTTCAATATTTCTTCACCAAACTTGGCACATACATGGATCTGGTGGTGTACTGGTGCCTTTTGGTAGTTTTGGAATTCTGAATTAAATGTTTTTGGCGTTTCCATGGCAACAAGTTCGACTTTGACTGAAATTGGTGGTAGTGCTCTTTTCTGGAGCAGAACTCTGAAACCGTTTAATATTTCTTCATCAAACTTGGTACATGGATAGATCTGGTGGTGTACTGGTGCCTTTTGGTAGTTTTGGAATTCTGAATAAAATATTTTTGGCGTTTCCGTGGCAACAAGTTCGACTTAGACTGAAATTGGTGGTAGTGCTCTTTTCCGGAGCAGAACTCTAAAACCTTTCAATATTTCTTCACCAAACTTGGCACATAGATAGATCTGGTGGTGGACTGGTGCCTTTTGGTAGTTTGGGAATTCTGAATAAAATATTTTTGGCGTTTCCATGGCAACAAGTTTGACTTAGCCTGAAATTGTAGTAGTGCTCTTTTCCGGAGCAGAACTCTAAAACCTTTCAATGTTTCTTCACCAAACTTGGCACATAGATTGGTCTGGTGGTGTACTGGTGCCTTTTGGTAGTTTTGGAATTCTGAATAAAATATTTTTGGCATTTCCATGGCAACAAGTTTGACTGAAATTGGTGATAGTGCTGCTTTCTGGAGCAGAACTTTGAAAACCTTTCAATACTCTCCTTCCACTTTTCTATATACACACCTAAATATTTCTATATACACACCTAAATATTTGACATAATCATAACTCGTAGACATAATCATGAAGAGTATTTTGCCATTGCGGGGGATATTGATGACTTTGTCTTCTTGTTGATATTGAGTGAAACATCGTCTGATTCAAAGGCAATGTATCATCCGCATATGTGTGGAAACCAGTGAAATGCCTCCTGATAATGTCATCAATGGGGAGAATGTAGACTGTGAACAGAAAGGGCCGAGAACTGATCCCTGGGAAACACCATATAACAATGGTGACTTTGATGATTGTACATTTCCGATTTTGACAGATTGTGTGCGGCCTCGCAAATATGAAGAGATCCAAATATGATATATGATTGTTTGATATTATAAATAAAAATATATAAACAAATATGATTAAGAATATGATTGTTTTAACCAGAATGTCAGTCTTACTTGTGTCAAGTATCTTTGGGACCACATAAACTGCCAGATTTTATTGAGGCAGTGATCAATGCTCAACAAATGTGCAAATTGAGATGAGAATGGCAGGCACCCCAAATGACATCAAAAGACTAACTGCATCAATGCCAAGAGATGCATCCACCGGTGTTCGTGCTGAAGGTGGTCACATGATATTGCAGACAATCTAAAAAAATGGAATTTGACGTCAGTTTATTGGTATGCCAATTCTGTTATGGGTCTCATGCATGGCTTGTTTGTCTTTATGTATATTTTACTGAATTAACCACGTTGACGTTGAATAACTAGCTAACAAAGCTCGTTATGTTGCATTTTGGTTTGGTGCATTTGTTTAACTACGTTTACGCGCACACATTTACATCATAAAATCTCATGACAGTAAAATCATAAACTTCCAGAATGTACCATTCATTCACAAGAGGTGTATGTGATCAGTTGACTTCTGTTGATCAGCCTCCGCAATGATTTGACTGTAGAGACCCGTTTTGAGAGACTGATGGAGTCATTTTGATTGGTGAAAATGCTACAGCTTCATGTGTGTGCAGCTTGAGAAACTCAGGACAACGGTACCTCAGATGTCCTGAAGGACACCCTTGTTCTAACTATGGTAGCATAAAGCCTGACAGAAGAGACAGAAAACGTGTTATTTTGTTTTGAAAAATTCTTTTGAAAATACCACAACTGATCACAGGTCACAGGATAGGTACAGACCATGATCTCAGAAAGTTACCACAGTGTTGCTCTTGGACTTGGTAGGGCAGGTTAACATTGATCATTGTTATCCTAATGTGAAGAGGGCAGATTATTTGCAGCTGGAAGGATACTGGATCCACTGGAGGTGTCGTCAGAACCAGAAGTAGGATCAGGATTTAATCCCAACTCCCCAACTACTTGCATCTAGGCTGGTGTTTCATTGGAAAGAAGTTATGTTTAAATGTCATAATTTTTCCTTATCCTGACTCATGCTCTTTTGCTTGTCTTCTTCTTCCTGCGAACATAGTGGAACACTTGTATCTCCTTATTTGAAGCTCCCTTCAAAGTAAAATCACTAATTGGTACTCACCACGAGTTGCTCCCCTTTGCTCCCCCTGGCGGGAAAGGTGTCGCCACCCTCTTGCCATGTGCTCCACTCTCTCCTTCTTCGCCCAGTGAGCAGGATGTGAGAGAGCCTCGTGTCTCCTTACACACCATATCCTTTGATATTTTCTTAATTTTTACCTCTCTTAGGTTACTATAGAGGTATAGCTAGTATCCTTTACTAATTTGTATTGATTATTTATCATTATTTCTACTGTTTATTCCGTGTATTAAGTGATTGTTCAGCTAACTTCGTTGATGAAAATCTGTACTATTTGTAGATTACGTTTTCCGCCTCTGATCCATGTAATATGCCCTAGTTGTTCTTCGCCGTGTGCGTTTGATTCGCGTTGCAGTTACTGCATTAATCTATCTCATTCTGCATTTAATAAATATCATCTTTGCGTCTTAGGGCGTGCTGCAGATAGGTCGCGCAAACAAGGGCAAAACATGGCAGATAGTCAGATATTCCATCCAGTCAGCTGCTAGCGATCGACCCTCTCCGTCTGGTGTGCTGCTAGAGACCCCTGCGGTA